TTGGCCTCGTTCTCGTTGGGATGGCCCAGCGTCTCCATGGCCCCCTTGATATCCTTGTCGGTGATGGCCGAAAAGTGAGCCCGATATGTCACCTGCTTGCTATACACGTTGCTAATGACGCCCTGGACGGCGTCCATCACTTCAAAGCAAATGTTCTCGCCCTCCTTGTCGCAATCGAGCCAGAGGACCAGATAATCGCAGCCGCGTGCCTCGTGCGCAAGAAACGTGCGCATATGCTGCTTGGGGCTGGTCTCTTTCTTCTCGGTGGGACAGCCGAAGAGCTGCACAGGGTCCACCTTGTCCCAGGAGTTGTATTTGCTAATGAAATCCAATGACATCACATGGCCGCACACCGACGTCATCCGAAAGTGGACGGTGCCCTCGTTGCGGAAGGTGCCGGTCCACTCGTGGGTGGAGCAGCCATTGCCAGTGCCTAGAAAATACACCAAAAACGTTATAAGCATTAGCCGGGCGCGGCCACAGGGAGTGGCGGACAACTTTCGCTTACGAACCTCTTTTCACCGTACAGCGTCCGTTGGAGAGGATTGTGGCTAGGGAGGCGGCCAGCGAGGGCTTCTCCGCAACCATCAGCACATTCTTCATGGCCTAAATATAATTGATGACTTTTTCGTGAGCTGCGAAGATTCCTCTATTTCCTTCTCTGTCTCGCGCATGGGATGAAACTGGTTGAGCAGCCGTTTGCCGGTTTTTGACCAAGAGCGGAGTTGAGCGCGGTTTCTTCAGGAACGCCCACGCATGAGTTTTGTTTATGATCAATATAGCCGTATTACTATATAATTTGTCACATATGCATATATATCTCTGGATTGGATGGGCATTTGGAGCAGACCAGAGCAGGGAATTATGTGCAACAAAAAACAGCACGCTGCGTAAACGAACCCGAGCACGAGACACTTTGGTCAAAAAAACGAGCGGCCGGAATAGTTATTTTTCCTTTTTTTTTGTTTGACACAAAAAAAAAATAAGAATCAAACAGAAACGTCGAATCAAAGCGTTTTATTCTAAAAATTTGACATTTGTGTTTTTTTTTCTTTACGGAGAAAAAACTCTACACGGTACACGACTCCTACACATTTGCTACATAATGGAAGGAAAAATCGGGTGTGGACAAGAGGCAACACGGCCCAGAAAATACAAGGTGAAATCTACCCCATTTGCTTAATATACCTTGAAAACGAAATCGGTGAGGTGGGGGTTCATGCGAACTTTGCAATTTGCCTTAGTTGTTTTTGCCTGTTGTCCATACCCCTTTTTATAGCCCATTAAAAATTAGGACTAATTTTTTCGTCCCATGAAATAGCACTTATCGGACCTATCGATAAGATATACCAAGAAATGACTCCAGAAATATAGCAATAAAAAAGACCTTAGCCCACTTAACTCCTTTATATTTAAACAGGTGACAACTGGAGTTAAGCCACGAAAAACAAAACCGTTGGTAAATTCTTCATCCTTTCTATTTCCTTACAACAAAAGCAACCAAGATATGTTTCATCGTTTCAATATTTTTGTGGAACTATTTGAATACCCTGGTCGACAATGGGATAATCGTTCTCTGCCATGGTCAGATATCATATTCCAACATTCCGAAAATTGTAAATCAGTTACAAAATCATAAATTTAAAATAAAAAAATTAAATAAACTAAATAAATAGAATTTCAAAAATCGATAGGTCGATTAATGGAATCATTTTTCTCACTGTGGCGCCATCTGTTCTCACTCTTTTTCAGCTATCTGGCCCGAGATGACAACGGTTAAGAGGTTGCGGTCTGGCAGCTCTACATGGCGCATTGCTTTTGAATTTGAATCTGTGTTTGCCATTTGCAATGAAATTTGTCAATTGTTGCAATTTTTCGAATTCCATTGTCTTGCGTGAGGTGTTTCTTTATTTATAGAGTTGATAAAGATATTCAATGCCGGCGCATTTGAAATAATCAACCGGTTTTGCTCTTTCACACTGCCTTAAAGGTTAATTACACCACAAACTGTAAATAAAAGCCACACCTGCGCACTGTGGAATGAAATGGGAAATCTGAGCCTGATTCAAATGGGTGCAGCGATCTATTTAAAAGAATAATATCGGAATGAGCTTCAGAGTAGATTCCATTTCCATGTGTGACCTATGTAGACTCAAAAATTAAAGAATCCACCCCACTAATTTCTGCAAAACACAATAATTCACGTTGAAGCCAAGTCCCACTGTGCCTGTGGGCTCATTTGCATACAAAAGAGCAAGAGTAGAGTTGACAAACCGCTGGATCAGGGCAATAGAAGCAACGTCTTCGTTATTCTGGGAAAGGCTAAGCCATTCAGAGCGAAGTCCGTGATCTGATGTGGGTCAGCCCCAAATCTGATCCCTGGCGATCCGGACAATTGAAAGACACTTTCCTGGTTGATTTTCTTCTGTTTGGTTTCATTGATATTTGCCAAAAAGCTTTATTGTAAGATAAGTATAAATAGTTTAGTTTAGTTGTTGTTTTTAGTCAATGACAATTGCAAACATCATTTGGATGTTTGCATATATAGTGTATACATGCATATATGTATTTATGTAATATATTTGCTTGTGTAGAGTATACGTTGATATATCTATCCCTATTTAGCTGCACATGAATGCCAAGTTCTGGCGAGTTTTTCAGTTTCAGTTTCGGTTTCATTTAATTGCCATTTCAGACAATTTCGTTCCGCATGTTTATCTATAAAAATGTTCTCTCTGTGGGCCATAAATTAATAGAATACAACAAGGGAAGAGCCCAGTCGCAGCGGCAGTCGCACGCCTCCAAAAGCGAATTATTGATATATTCCTTATGAATGCCATACATTATATGATAATTATCGTTAAAATACTCTTCTTTCTTTCTCTCTGCGGGGGAAACAATTTTAAATATGTTGCCATGGAGCGCGTTCGCGTTTTGGGGGGGAATCTCATTACGTGCATGCAGACTTGTATTGTATGTGTGTTTTTTAGTTCATAAAATTGTATCGTAAAGACTTAGCATCGATCTACAGGCTAGAACTTAGCAATAAGACATTCGTTGTTGGATTACACGTTGCAGGGATTCGAGTTAAATAGATATATGTAGAGATATATCAGGGCAGGTAAAAAAAAAAAAATGATTTCAGTATCTTAGGCTAGTCAATGTATGGGTTACACTTATATACAATAGTCGTTAGTATCAAAAATATGCTCTAAATATAAAGTATTCGCTGCCTTTGTCAGTTCAGTCATTGGATATCATCATAATTTCAAGTTCAATTCGTTGCTTTGATCCAAAATACTTAAATACATTTAAAATAAGACATATTTTCTCGTTTAGTATATACAATTAAACATATAAACAATTGAATTTTACAAATATGTGTACAATACATATGGATATATCGCTATGTGGGGGAAAATTAACTTTTGGCCTGAACACTTTGGAAGTTCTCTCTTACATAATACATGCCCGCTTACGCTATTCGATAGTATTCGATAATTACGCACGTTAGACGCGGCAACTAAATATTGTATGCACAAGTTCAGAAATAAATTACAATTAAATAATGGACAAAAAAATAAAATTAAATACAAAAACAATAAGAAATAATAATTGTACTGCTTTTAGTTTCTGTGTGTTTCAGGGATTAAAACATAAAAATACATGAGGGGAGGGAGGGGTGAATACATTCTGAATTGGGCGCCTCAAAAGGATATAAATCGATATCGATAGTAGGCCGACTAAAAACACTAACGGAACAATGCGATTATAGAGTGTGTGCGCGTGTGTGAGTGCGTGTATGATGGATGGGCTGATCATTGTTTAATTGAACGCGCTTTCCTTTTTGGCATCTGCTGCGCCCACATTTTTTTTCAACCTTTTAACCTTGATCGATCAGTATCGTTGAACTTTTGATGATAAATTTGATTGTGCGCGCGCGCACGCACTTGTGTGTGTGTGTCTTTGTACCGAAAAAAAAAAAATATTAAGAAAACAATTAGACATACACACATGCACTTATTTGTTTGTTTACGCCTGCGCGAGTAAATAAATTCCCGTTTGTTTAGTTTACAAAAAACAAACGAACTCCAACAAAACAAAAAAGAAATGTTTAATTTAAAACAGATTGCTGCCCCACACATAAAAATAGTGCCAGAATCCACTTGGACGATTGTTAAAGAATGCAAGAATCAAATTATTGAGCAATGCTGAATGACACACACACACACACATACACTAATCTAATACAAAGACTGTGGTCTGAGAGAGAGAGAAAGAGTGAGAGCAAAAGAGGAAGCGGGTACGTGTGACGCAGCACGTCTAAATCAAATGCCAGCAGCTTTTTTTGGTGCAATCTTCTCAATGGGAATCAAAATGGAAATCCAAATTCAAACCAGAGCCCAGCATCCAGAATCGACTAATTTAAATGTTAAACAATCTACATGTGTGCATGTATTTATATGGACGTATGAATGTGTGTGTGTGTTTGTTTGTTCTATCTGCTGGCGGCTGCTGGTTTTCTCACACTTGAGATTTTTGTGAGGCTAGAAAAGCCACAGCAGAATATCACGAGAGTACAACAAAAATGCCTCAACAATAAATTCCTTGTGGTTGTGCGCTGCATTCAGCAGCAAAAGCAGCGGCGTCAGCGACAGCGGCAGCTGTCCAAGTTCTATTGGAGATCTCCGTGGAAAGAGTAGAAGGAGAAGAAAACCCCCGTCATTAACAATAGCTCTGCTTTGTCTATTGTGCATTCCTGTTTGCGGTATTTGTATGTAGTTTTGCGTTTTGCAACACTTACCCATGTCTGGGCTCAATTCAATTAAAACGTGTTAATCTGACCCTGTCCTGCCCTGTTATCCCCCATCTAACCTACCGTTATGCTGTGCTCAAGTTACATACATTTATATACACATACTCATGTATATGAATAAAATACTCTTACATTTCTTTTGTGTTTAGCTCAAATTGAAGTTGAATACTGAATTACTGTCGGCCATTGGCCGCTACCGCTACCGCTGCCCCTGCTTCTGCTGCCGCCTGTTGGCTGATTTCAAAATCACGCGCAAGACGGTCACACACATACACTCACTTTTACACACACTCTCAAACACATAGACAATTAGCTGGGCCGGTCAATGCGCGTGCTTGAATGTTGGTTACGCTGTTGCTGCCGTTGCTGCTATTGCGCAAGTGTGCCTCGGATACGATACTACGGTCCCCCAGCTCCATTGCCATTATTTTCGTTGGACTCGGGATGGGATCGAAAGAGGGAGGGGGTTTACTTTCGCATTGTCGCTCGTCTCGTCTCCAGTTTTCTGCAAGAGAAATATGAAATAAAGAAAAAAGGGCAAAAATAAATAAAAATACAATTGCAAGTATGCATGTGTGTCTATATGTGCACATATACAGTAATGCGCCGCCTGTTTCCTTCTCACTCTGACGGAATCAGATGACTGCGACGGCGACGTTGGAGCCGCAAATTAAAAAAATAATGCCTTTGCGTAAAATGTAAATGGGCCACATTGTAATTATAACTTGAAAAAAAAAAACCAACAAAAAAAATAAACTGCAGAACGTTCAAATTAAAAATTGCCGCTAAACTCAATTAACGGGAGGCATGTACTATATACGTATGTGTGTATGCATATGCATTTTTATGAAATTTTTGATAATTTGTAAGAATTGAAACAGGAAAGAATTCATTAGGCACAAACACACACACACACACACAGCACTTCTGTGTGTGTCAAACGATGCGCTGCCCCCATCCTTTCATTCATGCTTTTGCTTTCGTTCTTCCCTGTGCATCCTGCTGCCCATAGAAAACTCCATTGGAAGCGATTCAGCGATTCCAATGTGGACCACGAGAGCCGTGATCGGGGCTGGAATGAGCGTGACGGGGACACGTTGCCCGGGGATTATGCAAAAGAAAAGAAATTGCACAGCAGCTGCAATTTCCACACGCACAAAATACACACACACAACCATGCGTATACATGTATGTACATACATACATGCCTGCGTGCAAGAGCAAAAGCTATCTACAGTTTGAGAGGAACTACGGTCGTCAGGTCACAGCATCAGCAGCAGCGTGAGCCACAGTTTTGAGGGGCTTTTGTACGAATTATTCGATTGCATAACCCCCTCTAAATGGGCCCATGGGCCCAAAAACCCAACGTCCGTCTGTTTTTTTTTTTTTGTTTGTTTTGTTTTCTCTTTCGGCCATATATTTTTGGGCCGGGCAAAACCTCAGCGCGACACGGACCCCGGACACACAGTCACCGACGGCATTGGCATCTGTTTCTTAAAGCCAGATCACACAAAAGTGACGTGAAACGAAAAAACCAAACTAAAAGGGGCAACACACATTACGATTGCGGGTATTACGACTTTCCCATACCCTCTAGTTCGGGTTCCAATTGGAAAAACAAAAAAGAATGGCCTTAGCTTTCCACTTTGTCGACCCTTTACCAACACTAGTTTAGCTTTTTATCTCTGTCTTTCAAAGTTGAATGGTCTTGAAGTGCAATGGAATATATAGTCCTCCTTAAATGATGGTTTCGCGATCACTTTGAAGATATTTCCCAAAATTTCTGCCTTCTCTAGCTTTTAACATGTGTTTTCTTAATTTTCTGCAAAATGTATGTGCTGTTTCTCTGGCTCTTACATAGTCTCTGTCTCTCCTCCTGGCAATATGTTGTTTCTCAAGTATTTTTTTATAGACTCTGCAAAATGTGTTGTTTCTGGTTTTTTTTATAGTAGTACTACAGAATATCTGCTAAAGGTAATTTCTCCAGAATTTATAGTAACTTGGAAACATGTGGTGTGGTTTTGGTAGTTCGTTCTAATAGTCTCCAACCAAATATGGTTTCTTCGCTCCCGTCTGGCCGCCTATCATATGGATCTGAACGAACCCAAAAATACCCTTACCTCTGAATACTGGAATGGGATGGGATGGGATGGCGTTTACTTTGGCTCATTTGCGATGTGTCAAGACCACTTGAGAGGACGGCGGACGAAGCGGTGCTTATCACATATTCGTCGCCCGCCGATGCCGATGCCGGTGCCGTTGCCTTTGCCGCCGCCGGTGAGTCCAATTTAAACTCAATTTTCAATTTTCCCTTTCCTCCAGATGCAGATACACTGGCATACATTATCTCCATGTGCCTGTGTGTGTCAAGGGTTGCGCCGTTGATTATTTTATTATTTTATGGCCATGTGGAAATCTACAGGAAACAGAGAGCCTGAACTCGAAACTCTGACCCAATACCCAAACGCTGTTTGTCTTCGTTTTCCCAACAAATTTCCACCGAACAAAACGTGGCAGCATTTTCATTTTATGGCCATTTCTCAAGTGCCCAAAAACGATGCCAAATCGCTTAATCGTAAACTTGGCGCATGGCTGTAAATGCAGGCAAACTGTAGGCCAGGGCCAGGGCCAGGCCACACAGTAAGAGCCGAACCCTGGCGCAAAGGGTATAATAAAACCCAGCCCAAAACAAAACCAAATGCTTGACAATGAAAACGTGTTGGACTTTTTCTCTGACAGGCGCCGCTCTCCGCTCCGCTCCTCTGCTGTGCTGCCTGCTGGGAGATATCTGGGTAAATCTTATGCGAATCTCATCCAGGAATCCCATGGCGATTCCACGTGTAAAAGAAGGACTGTTCCTATGACTAAAATTTGCTAGGTCAGGATTAATCCCTAAAGATTCCTATTATCGTACGGAGCAAATCATAGCCCCATATCTATAATCATATTATAGATCAACCAAAAGAGCCAAAACCAAAGCATTTATAGCATTATTGCCTCTCTTTAGGTATATTTGAAGGGGATTATCTTTTAAGAGTTCTTCAGACAGAGATTTCGGTAATTTTTATCTCAGCATTGAGTCAATAGAAAGCTTGGAAACCGTCCAAAGACCCGAAACATCGGCATTTATGTAGACATGTATGTACATATCTCTGTTTGCACCACAAAATCTCCCTATCGCTGTGTGTTATCTGCTATCTGTCGCTTATCGGTCGATCCACTTACCTTTAGCAAACGGTTTCCATCTTCGCAGTGGGCGGAGGCATTGTGGGGTTCGTTGTTGTCGTCGTTGGTGGAGCTGTGGTGGCATCGCCACTTGGTGGGGAGAGACTGCTGGGGGCCGTCGAGCTGGCCGAGCACTGCATCGTGGTGGTGTTTTGGGTAAACTCTGTCCCGCAGCCGGCCATCGAGGGCAGGCCCTGGGAGCTGCTCGAGTGCTGGACCCCATTGGTGGTGTTGGTGATGTCGTGACGGAGCCGTGGACAGCAGATGCGCCGGCAGGCGGTCCACACCTGCGGCTGGCATCCCACCACAATGAAAATGAAGACACCCTGTAGGGCATTGATCAGATCGGTAATGAACCAGGCGCCATGGGGCCCGCCCACCAGCCACGACATAATGTCCGCTATCCATGTGACGCCCATAACGACGACCAGCTTGAGGCAGACCTTGCCTAGGGCTGACTTTTCCGTGGACGACTTGACATCGTCCCGCTTCCACAGGCCGCAGGTCAGTTGGTGGGTGGTGGAGATGAACAGGGCAATATTGGCGCACAGCAGCAGCCCAATGGGTCCGTAAAAGTAGGCAAAAATCGAGACCGATCGATTGTCGAACCAGCAATAGAGCTGCCCAAAGCCCGGCCTCAGCAGCGTCGTCTCCGGCAGCTGGTCCACACAGGCGGCTATCGTTGAGATCAGCAGGGGCACGCCCCAGGCGTACACGGAGTAGAGGAGTAGTCGCAGTGCCTCCTGATTCCGTTCTAGGGAGCTCGGCCGAAAGTCCCGGAACGTCCACCAGATATTGAAGCACATCGTGTTCAGCCAGAAGAAGGCCGACAGGAAGAAGAACTGCATGCCAACGGCCAGCAGCAGACAGGCCACGGATCCCGGCATCAGCGAGGTGTTGAGCTCCTCGATGGCCAGCAGCACCTTGCCCACCAGTAGGCAGAAGACGTAGCAGATCTGACAGCGCCAATGCAGGGCATGATGGACGGCGGGCAGCATAAAGCCAGCCACCAGTGTGGCCGCCAGAAACACCACCGAAATGAGTATGCCGCCGGTTAGTACGGCTTTCTGTAGTCGCATGCCCGAGCTTTGGCCATCCTCGTCCAGTCCGCTAGAGCCCCCATCCTGCCCGTCGCCGTGCTGGGCGTTTGAGAAGTGATGCGAACAGGCAATGATTTTCACCTCACCCTCGCGTTGCGTGTGCTCCAGGCAGTACTGGCTGGCACTGAGATTCGTGTGATGCGACAGCCGGATCTCGCCCGAGGAGCGATTCAGCTGAGCATCGCGCCAGTCGCCGGCAATGGCATAGCCGACATTGGCATTTGCATTTGCATTTGCATTGATGCCTACTCCCACGCTCACGCACTCGGGCAGGCCGTAGCTGGTCTGATAGCTGCCCTCCGGTAGTTGCGGGCCCAGCCGGAGCTGGCCGTCGGTGGGGGGACTGGGCTGCAGGTTACAGGTCTTGAGGCTGGTGTCGTAGCTGCCCCACTTGCCACAGCATTTGCGCATGCGCAGCGTGGCAGGCTGCGTCACCAGGGATGCGGCTGCTGTCTCGTTTCCCGTTGCAAGGGCATTCTCTCGATTGATTGCTCCTGCCGCGGGCGCTTCGAGGCAGACCAACGCCACGTCCCGATCGACGCAATAGTTTTGTGGCTCCACCAGTATCAGGCGTTCGCGCACCGACAACGTGCCATTGGGGAAAATGAAGGCATTGCCCAGCCGACTGCTAAACAGCTCCAGCTGCTGCTCCTGGCAGACGGGTCGCACGTGGGCGGTGAACTTCATGAAGCGGGGACTGGCGCCGATGGGCTCAAAGAAGCGCTGCTGCTGTATGAGATACACCATGGGCACCCACAGTTCCGAATTGCCGGCTATGCAGGAGCGGGTGGTGGCATTCAGATATTCCCCCAAATGGCAGCATTTGTTGAGCTTCACGCGGGGCGGCGGTCGTGCCGGCCCAGGTGCTGTTGTGCTGCTGCTGCTGCTGCTGCTGCTGCTGGTCTCTTCGGGGGGCAACTGCTGGCCAAGCAGGGCTCCGATGAGCAATAATGTGATTAGCAATTGTATGCTAAAGTCTTTGATGGCCATGATGAGGCGGTTGCTTGGCGATGAGGCGATGACGATGTGTTTGTGGATTGTCGGGTGGGGTGCGGTGGGGTGGGGGGTCAGTGTCAGTGTCTCTGTTAACTTGTCTTACTGGCTAGCACGCACATCCACATCTAGTTCTTCTTCTGCCACTTGTCCTCCTTTTTGGTTCACGTTCACGTTCTCGGGCAACGCCACTCACAGATTGTTAAAGAAGCCTCTTCCATTGCGGAATAAAACACAATAATATATCATCGTTTTGCATGGCTTCTGCGGGGGTGCAGCAGTAAGTAGGTGGATCCACAGATCGGTCCACATTCGATTCAAGTACGCGACGGCACACACACACTCATTATTCGTCGTCTCCGTTTCGCTTCGGCAAAGAACAATTTTCACTTTTCTTCTCTTTTGCTACTGTTTCTTTGATTTTTCTTTTCTTGTGGCCCAACGTAAACAAAATTAAATTTCACTTCTGCAATATAAATATCACGCTAGCCTAGCTGAACGAAAAAAAATACGAATCGAATTGAGCAGATGATGCTGTTCGTTTTTAGCTGATTGCTGTTCTCTTGTGGTGTTGTGTGGAAGCGCGTTCAAGATAAAACTAATGTTTTGTTAGGGCTAGTGTTGTTTAATAACAACGTTCGCGTCGTTCACAGGGACTTATCGATACGTATCGATAAAAATACCGTCACAAATTTCCAAATATATCGTCTTATACTGACGATTTATTTGTATTCAAGTTCCACCATATTCCACGTTTCTTATATTCGGCTGAATATTACTCGCTAGCTAGGATCCTCAGCTGTGCGCTCATAATTTCTTATGATTGATAAATCAGTTTCCTGAAAGACTGGCTTATTTTAAGTACTCCTTTTTAGTTGATTGATTATAAAATAAGGCTTTAACATAAACAACAATTCATTTGTTCATAGAAACTGCATTCTAACTACACACTTGCTACATATTAACTACATTTGACCGTCTTTGTCATAAGACCCATCGAAGCGCCAGTGTGCAAAACCTCCATTATCCACCTTTTCCGACATTTTTGAAAGGTTGAGATTTGGCGGAGATTTCTCTGTGCATTGTCATCCTCCAGGCGACACAGCATGCAAAATAATAGTTCCTGCTCGCTTTCATACAAAATTTGAATTTTTAACTGACTTTATTTGTAACCAAGCACATTGCAGTGCACATCTGGTCACACTCTGCCCCGAGCGAAGTTTGTGGTACTTATTGTCGATAGACAGAACAGGAAGGAAGAAGGAACAGGAAAAACGTACAAACAGAAATTTTTTCCTCTGCTTAGCTCAAGTTGTTCACCTGTTGAAATAAAGCGGGGCTAAGTGGTTTAACGTGATCACCAGGGTGACCGTTTACGGTATATTTTCGGTATTTTTTAACGTCGAAATTGGAATGACGGTATATTTGTATGGTATGTCGGTATATTAATCAATTATTGTTGGTATATTTGATTTTATTTCTCAGCTTCAGATGGCATATTTTATAAATAAATCGGCGGTCACACTAGTAGAGTGGGAGAACGGTGCGTGCGTGCGGTGAAATTTTTTTGCTGGTGATAAAAAATATCAAACCGAAATAAACATGTAAGTAGAAAATTTAGGCTTGCATTTTTTTTCTTTACGCAATAAGCTTGTGAAAAAGAACTGAGGCGCACGGCCGGCTGGCTGCAAGTCTGGTGATGGCGGCGCGTCGGTTTTTTTTTTCGGTATTTCGGTGTGATTAGCCATTTATTTCGTAAAATAGTTCTTGCAAATGGCAGCGCACCGGCTTTTTGTTGCCTAGCTTAGCGTTTTTTCCTCGTCGTTCTCCTTCCCCTATCCCTTTGCTCATTTTGGGTGCTCCGCTGGTCCGGCGTCAGGCGACGTGGAGCCGCCTTTAGAGCCGCGTGTTGGCATCAAAATGTGTGTGCATGTGCGTCCGTGTCGGACCTGGTCAGCGGAAAGGTACACCACTAAGCGGCATATAGTCTCATTTGGATGGGCTAGCATAAAGAGCACTTTTTTCCTTCCGCCGCATTGGCAACTGCTATTTATCGCACCCAAGATTTTGTGAGGTTAAACATGATTTGCAAAAAAAATTTGAAATTTGCGTCATATTTGAGACCGAAGCTGGCGCATGTGTCGGCAGCAAGAGCGTCGACAGCGGCGGCGTCTGGCCGGCCCGTTCGTCTGTGTGTGAGTCTGTTCGGGTGTGTGCGCTAGCATTTGTTATTTCGTCGATTTTTTTTTTATTGTGAACATATCAAATGCGTGTCCGTGGTTTGTATTTTTCAGTGGAATAGTCGTCGCAATAGCAATCGAAACGCTTGTGGAAACCAGAGTGGCATTATTTCAATCAATTTTTTTCTGCCGGCCTGCATTTTGGCGCGCTTTCTTTGCGTCCATGGCTGTGCTTGGTGCATGTTCGTGAGAGAGTGGATGGTGGAGGAAGAGGTATATGCAGCATGCAGCATGCTACACTAATGGAAATGTAAAATTCAAGTTTGTAGCTTTTTGAAAACAATTTTTGTTTTCTTATTTTGTTGGTGGGCTTAGAGCATTTTCAGCGATGACTTCTTGTTTTGAATTGGCAGCGTGTGGCTGTGTGTGTGTCCAGGCTTGCATTTATTTGCGAAATACAAATCTACATATGCATGTATATGTTTTTGCGTGTGTGTGCGTGTTTGTTCATGTGTAAGTAGGATTTCAATTTGCCAAATATTTTCTTCCGTATTTGGGCATACGGGCATGCGTTGCGTGTATGTGTGTTTTTGTTCTTTGTGCGTAATGGAATTTTTGTCTTACAACAGTTATTCGGTGGTGTATACCTGCCTGCCCTCTCTCAGGGATAGCAGCAGCAGCAGCTGCCTGCAGTATCTCGTTCTCTTTCTGTCTCTCCCTCTGCTCTAAGGAATATGTGCCCTGCTGCTGCAATCTATCGGGCTCCCTCTCGCACACACACTCGTGTGCTGGCTTAGCAACAGCTGTTTGCTGTCCTTGGCGGGCTTTGCTCGCATCCGCTGCCACTGCGTCATATTTTGCTCGAACCCACATCAGGACCCTGGCAATCAGTCGCGGCGCGCTCGGCAAACTACGAACACAACTCCACTCCAGTCCGCTTCCAAAGATACAAACTACCAAATGCCAAATAATAATAATTAAAGGAATAAACAGATTTGAAAGAGGTGTTATAATATCTTTCCTACTACCGCTTACAGCTATCGCCGCTCGAATTGCGTGGAAAAGTTATTCAGCGTTATTCACTTAAAGCGTTAAAAGAGTAACATTCGAAATGGCTCAAGAAGGTCAAGATATACCAACTTTTAAGTGCGTGCTGGTAGGAGATGGCGGTACTGGCAAGACCACGTTCGTCAAACGCCATATGACTGGCGAGTTTGAAAAGAAGTATGTGGCCACATTGGGCGTGGAAGTCCATCCTTTGATCTTCCACACCAATCGTGGTGCCATCCGTTTCAACGTGTGGGATACAGCCGGACAGGAGAAATTCGGCGGTCTGCGTGATGGCTACTATATTCAAGGACAGTGCGCCGTCGTTATGTTCGATGTGACCTCCCGTGTTACATACAAGAATGTACCCAACTGGCACAGAGATTTGGTGCGTGTCTGCGAGAACATTCCAATAGTTCTCTGCGGCAACAAGGTGGACATCAAGGACCGCAAAGTCAAGGCCAAAAGCATTGTCTTTCATCGTAAAAAGAACCTCCAGGTGAGTAACCAGAGCCGAGCGCTGACCTGACCCTCTCTTCGTTGTCACTTATTCATGGCCTTATCCTTGTTCTTCTTCTCCACACAGTATTACGACATTTCGGCCAAGTCAAACTACAATTTCGAAAAACCATTCCTCTGGCTGGCACGCAAATTGGTTGGTGATCCCAACCTAGAGTTCGTTGCCATGCCGGCACTGCTGCCGCCAGAGGTGAAAATGGACAAGGACTGGCAGCTGCAGATCGAGCGTGACTTGCAGGAGGCCCAGGCGACCGCCTTGCCCGATGAGGATGAGGATCTTTAAGCGAGAGGCGTATTTAAAATAGTTAACTGAGAGACGGCCGACCTACACACACACACAAAATGAACACATACCAACCGCAGCAACAACCACAACCACTATCACACACACACAGCCTACACACAACACACAAAAGACGGCTGGAGTGCCAGGAAAAACGTAACCAGCGGCTCTACCCAGTGATGCATCCACAACAGTTTTGGCAGCAGCGGCAACGAAACAACAACACCAACTCAACCAGGATCCAGAACACAGGATCAGCAGCAGCACCTCCAACAGCAGCACCTCCAACAGCAACACCTCCAACAGCAGCACCTCCAACAGCAGCACCTCCAACATACACAACACAACAGCAGCAGCACAGCCGCCAATCGGTTGGAGACGCCACTTTTTTCGTGGAGCACAAAAGCCGTGCAGTCTTCGCAACACCACCAGCTACACTGTCCCTTCCCGTTTTCCAATTAGTCGCTCCATAAAAATAAGTGAACTTTTTTTTTTTATGATTAAATATTGTTTTGCCTTGGAGCTAGTAACTGAAAGCACACAAAAACAGAAGAAAACACGAAGCATAAAAAAGAAGTTGTCAACAAAAATAAAGAAATACGAATTTTTGATTATGTGTGTCTGTCTGTGTACCACTACTACTACCACCACTCCAATGCTATAATACTATCTAATAATATCATTTCGAAAACAACAGCCCAAAAAAACAAAAAACATTCAAGGTATAGTCGTCTTCTATATCAATGTAAATGACGGACAAACAGAAAGAAACTAAGAGAAAAGAGAAGGAAGAAAGGCGAGAGGCGCACCCGCATCCGCATGGAAACGAGCGAGAGAGCAGAGCAACGCCGTAGTTGTAGTAGTAGTAGTAGACCGTAGACCGTAGATGTCGGCGTAGGCGCTGGGAAAAGAACTGAGTCGAAATGAAAGAGAGAAGAGAGCCAGAGTCGCCAGCTTAATCCTCTCCAAATGTTATTAATCTAAGAAACTATGAAAAATAAAACACAAAAAACCTTCAAACAACAAACAAACAAAAAGAAAAAGTTGAAAAACAAACGTTTTGGTATTGTATGGAAAAAGATGAGTAAATAAAGGAAGAGCAACGCCACAATTCAAGCGGAATTTTTATTTTTATTAAACGTAACCGCTCTCTTATTTGCTATATATCTATATCCAGCAGGGCTAACTCGTCCCTAGAGTACTGTGCAAGAGAGAGAGTTGAATATTTGCACAGGACACAAGCTGTAATTGTATATTTCTCACAGATTAATTTCCACTACATTCACCCATCACATCCAAGGCACTATACTCACTATATACTATTCATTGTAATATTATTATTATGGAGCTTAAGCTTCTTTCGCAGTACAACCACTACCGGTCCCCCAGGAAACGTGGCATTAATCGTCCACCAAGGGTCAACAAGACAATGTTTTAGACTAAGTTTACAATAAAAAGCCTATGAGATTCAGTTCAATACGATATTGGTTATACGTTCTCGAGAGTTGAAGCATGAATCCTGCCTTCAGTCGGATTCGAAACACCCTGAACCACTTAAAGCCGAATCGGAGCACTGCGGGCACTAATATAGGCCAATTTCGAATGCAGGTTTCTGAAGTGATTCGTCCTATATTATGGAGAAATCCTTTTTAATTTGCTTTCTCGTTCTCTTTACCAGAAAAAAACAAAGTGGAACCGAACTCTTCGGATCTAACACAGTACAAATTACGAGACCTATGACGAAGTTATCAGAAAGCTGAAACGCTGATTCTAAATAACCGAAACGATTCGGTTGCCCGTTCATTCAGGACTCTAATACGTAGATTAAGAATATTGTAAGGGCAGCCAAGCCTCAACGAAGCTGAGAACGAATGCAGCGACCACTGGCTATGAATTCAAGATTTAATTTCTTATATCGGGCTGTCACACAGCGAGAGTTAGGTTTTTAGGTCAGGGGTTTATATTGAGATATCCTCTATCGTTTTATTGCAGTTTATTCATTAAATATTCGATTCTTTAGGATATGTTTGTGGTGAGTATTGGTATTTTTAGAATTAGAAGAAGGCCAAAAAAATAATCATAGATACTTTGTGCTCCTCTAGATCTACGGACACTTGAGACAACAGGCTGGAAAGACGCCCGTGAAGCGATCCTTATTGGCACAGTTGATCTTGTGCTGGACGCAGCTGAAAGAAACCAAGAGTATTATAGTACTACGTATAGTACTTGGCTGAGGCCAAGCACTTACTCCTCCACGAGTATCTTGAAGGTGTCCGTACAGATGGCACGCTTCAGGCATTTGCCATCCTGACCAAAGTCCACATAGTCCTGGCCGCGCTTCAGGAGCGGCAGATACTTGAGGAATATGGTCTCATCCTCGGAGTTGCGATATGTGCACACCGGTTCGCTGGCTAAATGGGGGATACACAACACATCGGATTGGAATTGGATTGGAGGCGAGAATAATAGTTTCACTGGCTCTCACCCGCTTCTACGGTGGACGGGAGTAGCATCACTAGCAGCAGCACGGCGGAGGAGCCAAAAAATATCGAAACGGCGCTGGTACGCATCTTGGGAATGTGGAAGCGAGACTGAAACGATGGCGAGGCAACCAGTTTCCTATTTATAGTTTGCACTTTCGTTGGGTTCTTTATGTGTGTTGAAGCAGAAACTGTCATTTGCATATTCCCAGCGGCTCTACGATCATCATCGTACGATGATGATTGGTCCCCAGTGGGAGGCAGACTGCGAGCAGAGCAATTCAGAAGCGACGAGACGAGATCAGACCCCATGCCAGGCTTGCTAATTGTGTAATTGTTCAGATTGTGCAACGCCATTATTATAGAGACTATTGTACAATTTAAAACTCTCAACCTTTTAACAGGCGTAAATCGAATTTTATTCCCTTAGATACGTGTAGCGTACCTTGTATGGAAAACATAACACATGATTAATAATACTACTAAATACGATCCATTGCTGGAGCACACAACCTTCTGTTCAACGGGCGCTCATCCAGATCCGACCTAGATGTAGTTGCTCTCCGGCTCCTGCTCCTGGCAGATCAGCTTGGGACAGCAGTCGGGGAATGTGCGCCGCATATCGCTGGCAATTTTACACCTTTCGTTGGGCACCAGGTTATGGCGGCCGCAACTGACAAAAAAACAAACGATGCTTAAATATATGTACATACGTATATTCTTTTGAATACTTACTATCCAATTTCGAGGACATAGTCCGGCCGACAGTAGATGGATTGGCAGTAGCCCTCTCGGTTGATCGGCTTGTAGGACTGCTTTTTGGGTATCGCTTGATTTAGTTCTTCGTAATAGCACTGCCCAGGATAATCTGCGGGGGGGATAGTTGAATGTTGAATGGGTGGGAGTGGCACTAGGGGCTGTCTGGGTACCCTGATTGGAGTCTAACCTGGATGCACGGCATTGCCGCGGTACGTCACATCGCCCCAGGCCACGCCACAAATGGTTAGGAGCAGGAGCAAAGTATGGCAGCGGAGTCCTCCTCCGGCTGGCATCATCAGTGTTTGTAGTAAGCGAAAAGCGAAACAAAAGAAATCAAAAGAATTCCCGACCTGGGCTCTTGTGCGCTGTCCGTGCGACTGAGTCAATTAAAATTAATTGTTGTTGCTTTTATATAAAATTAATATTAAACATTGTATACTGTCTGTGTATCTTCGCCTCTCCTCTGTGTGTGTGTGTGTGTAGATAGCATCTGTAGCGTTGTGGCTTTTGTTTATCCGACGACTTAAGGCGTCCTCCGCTCTAGCTCTAGTTTAAATTAATTAAGCCAGCCCCAGGCCCTGAAAGCGAGAGTGCGCGGGGCAGTACGGTTCCGTTGAATCGCTTTGCTTGGTGTCGTGCTGCTGCTGCAGGGCGAGGGGAATGGGGCACGATACATCCATGACAGTTAAGTGACACGGTTCGAGAAACTGTGGCAAGGTTGCTGCGCCGCTAAAAATGATCCAAACATACGAAATATGTAAGTACAATGCTCGACAAAATACAATACAAGAAAAAAAGGCCTAGCCTCGACAGTCGAAGTTTTTGATACTCGATATACAAACATACATATGCATACGTTATGTATGTATGTGTGTATGTACACACTGCAATCTTATGAAGAATGTTTACATTATATCCTCTCTCCAAGGGTATCAAAATACGTATGGGACTTTTATTACTTGAATTTCGCCCATCCCCACATGTAAATGCATATATTTATGCAAATTAAATGGGATTTACGGCTTACCCTGCATTTGCATTAATTAACAGTAATCGAGTGAAGATACCGAGAGAGCGAGAGCGCAGGAGGAGAGCGTCTATTGCATACAACTATAGCTTTTCCAACAACAACGCTGCAAATGCACCGTTTAGGAACTGCTTTCGATGACATAAGAGATCGATAGACTAACAATACGGTCGATAAATACACTTTGTTTTGTTTACATTTTTGTATTATTTCTTCCATTCCAGTAAGTGCTTCCCTACCAATTAATTGATTGGCCGGCCACTCATTAAAAACGCCTTAATTTCCTTTTCATTTTTTCACATTGATTTTGATATTGTTATGCACTTCCTGCAGCCGCATCGCTTCGAGAGCAAGACAAACCTTAAATAAATCACTCGACAGCGACAATAGGAAACCTTATATGATTGCAAAGTACTACATCCACATATATGTATAAGCCCCCAGAGCTGATAACAGAGCCCTGTCCGATGTGGCTGCCCTTATAAGCGGCCGATCGGCTGTTGGACAGCCAAAAATCAGAGCAACGAAACCATGAATGTGCTGCTATTGCCGACCGTCTCCGTGCTCATCCTGCTCCAGCTGTCGTTGGTCAATGGCAATGGGTTCAGCACCCAGTATCGGGGACACACACAACACCCCACACTGGCCGAGCATTGCTACTACGAGGAGCTGGATCTGGCGGTTCCGCTCAATGGCGAAGTTCTGCCGGTGAATCATAAGGACTACTGTGTCAAGGTCCTCTGTGCCGATGATTACCTACTGATGATAAAACAGTAAGTGCAACAGTTGGCTGTCTGGCCTTCATCATTCATGTTTTACACACAGCTAACGTTGGATATTCTCCATCTACAGCTGTGAGCCGCAACCTTTTCCGCTTCCTGGATGCCGACTTTCGTCCGGTAACTATGCGGTACAGTTCCCCGAATGCTGTCCGCAGCTAGAGTGTCCCACTCGCACGTAGTCGATTGACGTGCTTACGTATTTACTTTGTTTCTTAAGTGAGCCTAAATCTTTGAAATATATTATTATGGCATGAAATCAGTTTGATACACCCATTGACCCTTGACCAATATACTGGGGGAATATAATCTACTCTATCTACTCTCTTAGCTAGAGTAGAACTGTATATTGCATGTCGATGATCGACGGTCGGATCAGTTCAAGGAGAATAATGAAGTGGCTTGATTTTGTGCTATGCCTCGTGTTCCTGGGCGCCCACTCGCAGCTGGTACTGACCGGTGAGTACGGCAAATATCCTATCCCGAATACTGTATGATCTTAGTTCTTGGCAGTGGATTTGGGTTGTGAATTCCGTGGTCTCAAGTTGTTAAGGGGTCAATCGTACCAGCCTGTTGGCCAATGCATGCAGTACACCTGTCAGGAACCCAAACTGATGGTGGGAAAGGCGTAAGTATATATCACAAAAAGGATCTCCAACCCACTCTCTCATGTGTGTGTGTGTGTTTAGTTGCCCTCTGGTGGACGGTCCGAAGCGGTGCAAGCTGGTTAGCGACGCAACGAAACCGTATCCCAAATGTTGTCCCAAATTGCAATGTTAATTACAATAAATGCGGGGTCGTCCAATCGCTTACAAAGACCAAAAAATGATTCATTTATTCGGTTTGGTATACATGCTTGAACTTATGTCAATATACGCTCATAGTATATATATATCTCAAATGGATCCTAGGTATATAAGTACATACATACATATAAATAAGAGTGTGTCAATTGCCACTAAATTTGTAGGGTTTTTCTTCCACTTAATCTTGATCGCATTGCGCACTTGTGTTTTAGGCATAACAAGTATATATGTGTATATCTTTTCTAAATATATATATATATATACATATATATATATATATCTCTTGTATTGTTTGTTCTTTTGTATTGTATATACATCATATATCATTGTATAGTTCTCTAAAATAAGGGGGAATCAGCTTAAATTTCACACTATATCGGAGACCCCGGGGGGCAGTGTAATAATTACGATCTCCTCGTTATACGAATATCTGGCAAACACGACACGGATTCATCTCATTCGCATACATTCTGTATCCATCAAAACATAAACCAAAGAACAGAACTCGTTGCCTCGATCTGTGTGGATCTGCCTTCGGTGTGGTGTGTGTGCTGGTTCGATTCCGTTCAATAATCTGCCATATACATAGATTCAGTATTCTATTTACTGTATATATAACCTGAGCTAGTCTAAACATTCTTTAACTATGGTCCAGTGGCACAAATTGCCATTTATATGGAAAATATAAAGCAAAACGGAAAGCCCTACAAGTGAAAGGACTACGTGTACACAAAATGCTTCACGTTCATTTTGGATTATTCGACTGAGATATACATACAAACACACCGATCAATTAAACAAAAGGCAAACCCAATTTGCTTAAAACTTATCCTAGATACCCCCCGGCGACAGGAGCTGTGGCGTCAATTCGCCACTGCACTCCTCTTCTCATTGACGCGCCGCCCGCTCCGTCTCCATCAGGCATTCACGCACCAAAATGCGGGCATGGACAATGCCGCGCTTCAGCCGCTCAGTGGAGCTGCGCGAACCTGTGTATGTGGGCCTTATGTCGCGGCCCATCTCCTCGATGACGGCCAATAGCTGGGCGTATTTGGTCAGGCCATTGCCGGTGCTCAGGCTGCCCACCGTCGGCAGGTTGGCTGTGGATGTGAGGGGTGTGGTTATGTTTGCTGATGTCTGGGTGGTCACCACCACCGGCGATGTGGACGGGGGCGGGTACTTAAGCTGTGACTGCGTTAGATTCAGACCCTGATTATTACCATTGCTGTTGCCGGAGTTGCGTGCCCCGTTGGTGGCTGCCGCAATATTCGCAAGCGAGAGGGCCGCTGCAGCAGCAGCTGCCGGCGTGGCCGTAGTGTTGGATTGTTGTTGCAGCATAGCCAGTTGCGCCTGCAGGAACTGCGGTGAATATTGCAAGGCGGCAACGGCGGCTGCCGCAGCAGCATTGGCTGCCGCCGAATTCTGTTTGCTGGATGTGCTGTAATCGGCGGAACGGTCGCGCTTATTGCTATTGGCGTTGCCGCTACCGCTGCTGGTGGAGTAGTCCGTGGCACCCATGCCGCCCATGCTGTTGTTGCCAGAGCTGCCGGCCGAGACGCTATTGCTTGTGTTGCCACGCGAATGATGGATGGCAGATATTTGGATTTGGGGCTGCTGCTCGCGCTGTTCACGCTGCTGCTGGTAGTTGTAAAAGTTTTGCACTTGCGAGCGTGGTATTGGTGTCACTGTGACGTCACTCAGCTTGGATTCGACAGCCTGTATGTCCATGATGTCCATGCTGATGCGTGGGCTTCGTGGGCTGCACACCAGGCGGATCGTTATTGGATTGCCGGATAGAAGAGGGGGGGTTGCTTACCGAATGTTCTTTGGGAGTTTGCAAACGCTTCTATGGTGTCTATGTCCAATTTTCGTTGCAACAATTTACGCTTTCCTTTCTACGCACAAACAAATCTATTGCAACCACCACAAACATGCACGCACACACACACACTCACTCATCACACACAGAGAAACAGTTACAGTGTTGTCAGTGTGGGCAGATGATGTAAATACCGCAAGAAATACCAAAACATACCAGACTGTTTAATTTTACAATTTTAAACTTTTTTTTTTAACATTTCCTGATTATTAGATGGTCTTGAAACTCATCTGTTGGCTCAATTAAATTTATTTCTTGCTTATATGACACCTTATATTTTTCCAACAAAGTTATAGGAAAACAGCTGACAACTCCAGTGCTGCAAAGTATGAAATAATTTCGGATTTCTCTATTGGAAATAGCTGTGCGTATTTTATTGCCCAGAATTGGCAATAAAAGCTTTAGGAACTAAATTGATTTGCCCAATAGTTAAACTGCCACTAATTTGAATAATTAATAAATGAAAGCACTGTTTTGTTACGTTTTTATTAAGAAAACAATTGATATTTCATCGGTATATTTACGGCATATTTCGGTATATTTCTGAGTCAATGCAGCCGCGCCATCGTCATGACAGTGTGGCGAAAAACAATGGCGAAGAAACTGTGAAACTATAAAACTCTCGTTGTTGACATCTGGTCGATTTTGTAAAAATTGTGTGAACGCAGTTTAATTTACTATTTATTTTATTGTGATTGGTAATACAAAATCAAATAGGCGATTTAGGGAAATAAAAGTGTTTCGGACCAGAAACAAGGTGAGCGTAGACGGTAGATTGCAAAAAATTCAATTACATTTCCGCGACTCCGTCTGTCGGATGCATTTGTGTGCGTGTGTTTGTGTGTGTTAGCCGTTTGTGTGGGAGACAATGTATGACGTAAAACGATAACGTAACGCGGTGCGATTGTATGCTGCGCTTGCATATAATTAACACCGCAAAGCATTGATTAGTTGCCTTGCAACCGCTGTTCGTTTCTTCTCATTTTTGGCAGACTTGGTGCCGCATATGCAGATGTGTGTGCAATGTGTCGCTATGTGCCGCATAGGCGAGCAGTGTGGCCATTCTGCCTTCCTCCCTTTTTCCATTTGCATTTCCATGTGTGCTCACTTTGTTATTCGTTGCCAGACGCGACCAAAGCGACAGTTGGCATTTGAATTTTTCTGTGAACACAAACTCACACACACGCACACAACAATCAACCAAGTATACATGTATGAATGGAAACACGCACACCCATAGGCACACCGAAACAGACGCTGTCGGCGACCTCGACATAGAAGAAGCAGAAGCATTAAAAAAACTTATTCGAAGCAACAAAATTTGATCTAAAATCTATCACTGAGTCTGCTGTCTGTTGACCCTATCGGTGTAACTCGGAAATTAATTGATTGACAAGCAACTTGATAGAGTATCAATAGTAAAAATATAATTCAAAAGCCTCCTATTTCTTTCAAGCAGAATATTTTGGAACATCCGCTACAGTGGGAAAACTGTGGCCACAACTATTGGATTCGCAAGCGGAATCGCAGCGCTGAGCTGAGCTGAGCTGCCCTGACCTGACCAGGCGAACTCTCGATAGATAGGCAAAAAGTGATATTGGGTATATTTTTACACCAAGTGATAGCCATTTGTGGAGCAGAGTAAAAAGATCCAAATGGATATGATTTCAATTGGACAGAGCGTTAAAATCAAACGCACTGATGGACGCGTTCATGCGGCCGTTGTGGCCGTGATCAATGCGTCCGGCAAGTGCCTAACAGTCGAGTGGTACGAACGTGGTGAAACCAAAGGCAAGGAGGTGGAACTAGAGGCCATACTCACACTGAATCCCGAACTGACGCAGGAGGCTGTTGAGCAGCACGCGGCCCCAGAGCCAAAGAAGCAGGCCACTGCCCCGGTGAATCTGGCCCGTAATCCCACACAGTCTAATATCTCCGGCAACCTCACCAGCCGACTGACCATGGCCAGCAATCAACTGAACAAGATACACGAGACGCACCCGACCATCAGCTCGGGCAATGTGAATTCGAATGCCACTACGGGCGGCACCACTGCAGCGACCATTTCGGGGCTGCAGCGGCCACGGTTCACACAGGTCACGGGTAGACAGCAGCAGACGCGCAGTGCCACGGCGTCTATCACAGCGTCCGCCCAACTGGGCGCTGGCGGGCAATCCAGCCAATCCACAAACAATGCAGTGGTTAACAATAGCACACAGAGCAGCATTGGTGGCGGTGGTGGGGTCGCAGGAGTTGCGCGTCGTTCGCATGCCCTTAAGGAAGTGGAGCGTCTAAAGGAGAACCGCGAGAAGCGTCGGGCACGCCAGGCTGAACTTAAGGAGGAGCAGAAAGCCCTCCAGAATCAGGACCCTGGCAACCCCAACTGGGAGCTGGCGAATATGATACGCGATTATCAGAACACACTGGAGTTCATACCACTGCTTGACGGTCAGGCGGTTGACGATCACCAGATCACCGTCTGTGTGCGCAAGCGTCCACCAAGCCGAAAGGAGGTGAATCGCAAAGAGGTCGATGTCATATCGGTGCCCCGCAAGGACTTGATGATTGTCCATGAGCCGCGGACCAAGGTCGATCTCACCAAGTTCCTTGAACATCACAAATTTCGTTTCGACTATGCTTTCAACGAAATGTGTGACAATGCCATGGTGTACAAGTGAGTATTGGAAACAGTAGTAAACTCGATTTTTAGGCATTACCATATATGTATGCATCCCCATCCCCCATCTATCTGTCCTCAACCTCTCTCACAATTGTCGTGTGCATGTAACACGGTGTTCGTCGGTTGCCAGAGGGTATATCTTTTAATTGTCAGTCGACGGAGGAGGCAACGCTTGCAGCGTATGAAAGAAAAGGCCGCAATTCCAAAAATATAAATTTCCAATTGGTTTTTTCCAACAGCTGTTGTGGGCCATCTCTAGCAGACACGACAATGGTTTTGGGGCCATCTCTAGCAGAGCGACTCATTCGAATGCACACAAGCAAACAAACCCACACACAAGCACACATACATATAGAGAGGCAGCCGAAAGCCGTCGCTCCCGAAATAGCAAAGTTTTGTTTGGTTTTTTGTTGTTGCTGTTTTGTTGTTTCCCAATGATTTGAAGCTTATGACTAATTTCACACAAGCCTCTCGCTATCTCCCTCTGCTACTTGCTACTTGCCACTGCCACTGCCAGTGCCAGTGCCAGTGCCCATGGCGGCCACTCAATAGGCGTTCCATTCATTCATGGGGTATGGTATGCCGCTTGATTTGATTTGATTTACGTTCAGTTTTTGACTCTCTAAATTGTACTTAGCGCCTCTTTTGAAAAGTAACCGCCATTACCCGTCCATTAAAAATTGTTTACCTTTTGTCATAGCGGGGCTTCAATTGAATTTAAGAAGCTCTCTTCTCCCCCTTTCCCTTTCCCTATCGCTCTCTCGCTCTTTTCTTACCGGCGCATGAGTCAATGGCTGACGCCGTTTCGGATGCGTCACGTAACGCCAGGCGACGCTACGTGAAACGGTGAAACGTTAAGCTCTCCTTCCCACTGATGAGGCATACAAGTATTTCGGTAGAAATGGGATGGAATTTCTTATAAACCAAAAAATGCAACAATCAGATAGCGCCGATAACACTCTGACTGTTCAATTGATTGTGAATCATTTTTGGTAGATCGGTAGATAATGCCTTTAATTCGAGTCATTTCCTTTTCCCTTACCCTATATCCCCGTCCCCGTCTGATACATACTGATATTCATGCTCTGATTCTCTGTAATCCTTCTCAGATACACAGCCAAGCCCCTGGTGAAGACTATTTTCGAGGGCGGAATGGCGACATGCTTTGCCTATGGCCAGACAGGATCCGGCAAGACCCATACCATGGGCGGGGAGTTTACGGGTAAAATACAGGACTGCAAGAACGGCATCTATGCCATGGCCGCCAAGGATGTGTTCGCGACCCTCAATACACCGCGCTATCGCACCATGAATCTAGTCGTCTCGGCCTCGTTCTTTGAGATTTACAGTGGCAAGGTAAGACAAGACTCGACTCGTAACAAATACCCCCCTTCCTGAGCCCCGATTGCTAATCTGCTGCTGTTCGAACAGGTCTTCGATCTGCTGGCCGATAAGCAGAAGCTGCGCGTGCTGGAGGACGGCAACCAGCAGGTGCAGGTGGTTGGCCTCACCGAAAAGGTTGTGGACAGCGTCGAGGAGGTGCTAAAGATCATCCAGCTGGGCAATGCGGCGCGCACCTCGGGCCAGACCTCGGCCAATGCGAACTCGTCGCGATCGCATGCCGTCTTCCAGATTGTCCTGCGTCCGATGGGCACGACAAAGATCCATGGTAAATTTTCGTTCATCGATCTGGCGGGCAATGAGCGGGGTGTGGACACCTCGTCGGCCGATCGCCAGACACGCATGGAGGGGGCCGAGATTAATAAGTCCCTGCTGGCACTCAAGGAGTGCATCCGGGCATTGGGTAAACAGTCGGCCCACCTGCCGTTCCGTGTCTCGAAGCTCACGCAGGTGCTGCGCGACTCGTTCATTGGAGAGAAGAGCAAGACTTGCATGATAGCCATGATATCGCCGTGCAACAATTCCTGTGAGCATACGCTCAACACGCTGCGCTACGCGGATCGGGTCAAGGAGCTGGTGGCCCCCAATGTCCAGGAGATGGGCCCATGTGGCGATGGCAATGATCCCATGGACGGCAATGTCGTTGAAATCATGGACGACGACGACGAGGAGGAGCAGGAAAACAATCCGGTGCGCAAGCCAGACATCCGTTCACACAATCAACGGAACGTCCCAATTTCCGCCGGCATTCATAATAACAATAACAACAACAACAAGAACGGAAACGGCAATGCCGGCAACACGGATCTGGCACTTTTGAGTTCGCTGAGCGTGAGTATTTACAAACCATATTTATACCCACCCACTATTCCCGCTTCGTGGAAGATACTGGATGGCTTTAGATGCATAAGTACCCCTGAAATCTGATGTTCACTGAAAGAGTAGTCGTGTTTTTTAAGTACCTCTATGAGTAGATCAATTCTAGAGTGTATTCCAACGTGCTCTAAGCATTTGCACATCCTTCTTGGTTTTTGTGGTAAATGGTTTTGCAGTGCAACGGCTTATACCATTGAAAAGCTGACAAAAATCTTATATCACATCTCGAGGCTTCTCCCGGCACAGGCATATGAACATATTTTGAATTTGCCCACATTTAGGTAGCCTTTGAGTTTAGCTTCAGACATCTGTACTATACATTGAAGCTAGTGGCACGAAATTTGGTTTGGAAACATACCTTTGTACAACAAAACAAGCAATGTTCTCGCGCAGCAAGACCACAACGGGGAACATCTCGAAGAAGCCGCCGCCGCCGCCGGAGCCAGACCCTAACAGACCCAAGTCCAGTCCGAAGCTAGCCCCGACACGAAGATACAAAATGTACGCACACGTGGAAACGAGAATCCCGATTCCGGCCCGGGCAGTGCATACGGTGGAAAAGTCGCCAGTGGCCAATACGGTCAAAAAGTTGGGCTTCCATCTCGAAAAGCATAAATCGCCTTACGCTAAGGCTGTCAGAAGCCAGAAGAAGACGGATATTCCGGCGGACAAGAAGCCACTTCGCCCCAAGGACGAACCGGATGTCATTGAGCTGGCCGAGATGATACCTCGCGTTCATGAAGAACTGATCAGGAAATTTGGCGAAATGCCCCAGCTGGTGCGCAACAAGACTCGAATAATGTATACTCTGAGCGACAGTGGCTTCGAGGGTGTACTGTTCGATTATGCTTGTCGCTTGCCCCACATCGCGGAAGAAGAGCCTGTCAAGGATCTAAACTGAATATACTCGTGCATATGTACGTCGATCGATCAGCTTTCCCCCCGACATACAGTTGATAGGAGATATATTTTTGTGAATTGTTGTTGGTTATTTTGCTAGATTTTGCTAGCACACCAAAGTAAACGAAATTTGCAACACCGTCTTTAACCCGTCTTTACGCATTTGCAGGAACACGAAATGTCACAGGAGCTGATCACACAGCATGAGGCCATCGAAGATCTACAGCAAACTGAAGAAATGGTTGTCGAATTCCATAGATCGGTGAACGCCACACTGGAGACCTTCCTGAATGAGTCGAAGACCCTATATACGCAAACAAACTATGTGAACTATGATCAAGAGGACTATTGTAAGCGCGGCGAATTGATGTTTGCCCAACTGATGGACATTGCCACCCAGTGCCGTGACATGATGGCCGAGTATCGCATTAAGTTGGCCAAAGAAGAGATGCTTTCTTGTAAATACAGTCCAAACAGCCAGCGCTAGAACACCAACTAGCCATAAGCATCCCACCATCCCCACGATTCATATTTATCCGCCACACTACAAACTATCATCCGCAAAATTTTAGAATTCGTTTTCATCACACACTGTCCGCCGCGTTGCGAAACTGAACTGAAGCTGGGGGCTGCTGCGGATGAGGTTACACACACACACACACACATACACAGAGATATACACCCGCTCGCAGACTCTATTGTTGTTTATTTATTATTTTATTTGGCAGTTCAGCGTTTTTAATTCAGTTCAGTTGTTTTCAGTTCAGCGTTTAGCTTTAAATAAAAATTCCCTATATTGTTAAAGGATTTCATGAATTCATTACTTTTCGAACGACAAAAGAAGCGGCGTCTCATCTCGGTTCAAACCATTCGTTCATCTCAACCACTCATCCAGCATTCAGTCGTCATATCTCGCTCTCTAAACGCACCAACAGACAGCCGCCCCGCCCACCACCCCGCCTTGTAAGCGCCTTGCTCTCTTGGGAGAGCAGCTTGTTTCTTATTGAGTTTTACCGTTCATTCAACTGATTGTATGGATGGAAGGGAAAACGGTAGAGCGGGTAAGGCAGGAAGAGATTGACAGTATCCCGATCGATATACCCCCGATAAATACCGCAGGGGGGGCTGTCTCGATTAAACAAGAAATACAATACCGAACTATAACAACAACATTTAATAAGCAACACACTTTCTGTTTTGTTCTCATTGATTTATACGATACTTTTGTAAAAGAAAAAGACATTTACATACTATACTACAACTTACTATTATGAGATTCCATTTACATTATAAATTACCTTCTAAAGAATTCAATAATTTTTTGTATCTTTTCAATTGATTGGAGAGTCCTGCCTACCTCTCTGTAGCGCCGCGGCACAAATCAATGACACATTACTATTATGGATTAGTTGCGTATAGTATTTGTAATTATTTAAAGGCCACAAAACTGTATTTAATTTGTATTAATTTATGGAGAGTACTACCACTACTACAGCACCAATACCAATTTACAAGCGTATTCCTCCTAAACCCCCTCCCCCCCATAACTTTAATGATCTTTTTATATATATATATATATTTACTATATGAATATGTATACCCCCACATATGAACTCATTTTTTTTTCAAACTGATTTATATTCTTTGCCTGAGAATTATTTAGCCTATGTTTAATTTTCCATTTATTCGCTGTCTTCATTTTCGCTGTATGAATGATTTATTTTATAATTATTATTTTATTTTTTTTTTTTTATGTGTGTGGAGGAGAAGAATTTAAAATGCACCTATTCGCGTTGCTCATTTGATTTTGAGAAATTTGAATTTGCATTTCATTTTGTACTAATATTTATTACATATATTTAACTAATTTTACACGACTAAAAATGATAACGAATGACAACAACAGGAAAATAACCAAACCACAGATTTCCAAGCACTGCTTGCACTGCTTACTTGTAGACAAACAAACAAGAATGAACACGAATGGAACACATACAAAATAAAACAAACACCAACACACCTTATCCTTAAAAACACACAAAAAGAAGCGAAACGAAAAAGAAACGAATTATGAACATCAATACTCACGTGCTTCTCCCAAAAGGTTTTATAAAATTCAAAACCTTTAAAAAAATTTTTTTTTATTAATCGCGTTTTACCAGAGCACTTTACTGCAGAATTTCCTCTTCTACTACAGTCGGACGATGACAAATTTTTTGTAATTCACCAAATGCGAGTTTTTAAAACAATGTTAATACGAATTAAACAAACAAACTGAATAATGAGTGCTTCGATATTATGCAGTATAAATAATAATAAAGAAATGTGTTAGGAATGGAATGAACTTTAATAATGTATTATTAAATATAAATAATAATTTATATTGTAATAGAAGCGAAGAGACACAAAAACTAAATTTAACATTAAAGATGTGTAAAAACCAAAAACATTTTTTTTTTTTTTGTAATGGGGAATGCAAAACACCGACCATACGCATTGGAAAGTGTTATATTGCTGTGCTGCCGCTACGAAGCACCAATACAATTGCGCTTTTAGTTCCGTTTTGACTGCATCTACGCAAACGCACTGCAGAACATGTGAATAACACCAAATAACGGAGAAATATCCATACTGGCACAGCAGTAGCCGGATGACAAGCAACAAGTGTTACTTGTTAAATTACTAGCAACATGCCAGTAGTATGAGTTATCTTATATACATAACATTTACACAGGTGAAGAATCATGGATATATGAATTTGAGTTCGAAAGAAAACAGTTACGGACGGTATGGGTGTTTTAAAGCGAGCCCAATGACAAACAAATGTTCCAACTTGAATAGCAATCAACGTACCTGGCATTGTACCACATTGCCTATAAATATCAGATAAAAAACATATGGTATAGACACTTCGTTACTCCATCATTTGTTCAATTATTTGCATTCATAGCCTTGTCACTCACTCACTTTCAAATATAGGGCGCAATTTTACTATCCAGTCGATAGTTTTTTCATCGGCATATTTACGATATATTTTGAAAATTAAATGAAGTATTTTTGACTGTCAGACCGTAAATCTGATTAGGATTTTATCATGCTGATTTTAGTCACCTTTTCTAGCTCAGATACCCTGCACCAATGTAGATATGGTGTAGAACGACCATTTAGAGACATGTCAGGCCACATCGAAAAAGAATCCGCGATAAACATCGATTCCTGCTCAATTTTTTCAAAAATGTCGGAAAACAGGCATGTATAACGGACGTTTTTCACACTGGTGCCACCATGGGGCCCATATGAAAAGAGCGACCAAAAATGTTCAAACGTTTCGCCCTTGATAATTACAAGCAAATGAAGTTAATGTGCAGCAAATTTGTAGTTAGTGTGTAGATACCATGTACAACAATTATTTATGTGAAAACTTCTATTGACCTTTTTTTTAAACCTATTTTATAAACAACCCAATGAAGATGAGAGCTGAAATCTAACCAGTCTAACCATCAATCGGATAAAACTTTGTGATCAGTGATGAGAGTCCTAGCTACCTAGTAATATTCAACCGAAAATTAAAATTGAGGAATATGATGGAATTTTAGTAAAAATAATTCGTTAGAACATTTTTGGTATATTTTGAAACTGTGACGTATATTTTGGTATATTTTTGAGCGTCAAACTGTTTATCTTATCGTCAAGTCCGCTGATAAGTGCTCTTTCCTGCGACGAAAAAGTGAGTCGTAATTTCGAATGTGCTATAAAGAAGGGTATGGGCAACAGGCAAAAGTAGCGGGGGCAAATTGCGAGGTTCGTACGAGCCCTCACCTCGGGTGTTACGATAACATACCTTGAAGGCAAAATCGGCTTCTAGTCTCTTCAAGGTATATTGGGCAAATGGGGTAGATTTCACCTTGCATACGTTGCATTTTTTGGGCCGTGTTGCGTCTTGTCCACACCCAAATTTTCCTTCTATTATGTAGCAAATGCGTAGCAACCGTGTACCGTGTAGAGTTTTTTCCTTCATAAAGGAAAAAAACGCGGAGCCGCCACTGGCCGTAGGCACAAATGTCAAAATTTTTAGAATAAAACGCTTTTGGTTCGGCGCCTGATTCCTGTTTTTTTTGTGTTAAGCACATCGATAGCAAAAAAAAAGGAAAAATAACCAGTCCCGCCGCTCGTTTTTGTGGCCCAAGCAGAAAGGATACGATACGGAACGTAGGCGGTAACGGCAACATGGCAACAATTTTTTTCGCTGAACCCGAGCTGGTTATTGGCCACGGCCGAAAGGTGCTTTTCCTGAATCCGGGCGACTTGCAAATCTTCAAGGAAATCGAATTGCCACCGGATTTAACCACGTGTGGATTAAAAACGGTCGAGCCAGTCCCCGCGCCTGGCCACCCGGCCAGCAGCTCAAAGCAACAGCCTGCAGCCTTGAAGGAAGCAACAGGATCTGTCAAGGTCGAGGTATCGATACAAAATGTGACCTACTCTCCAGATCGCCAACTGTTGGCTCTGACCACAGCTGGCCAGAAGGCAGTGCTGCTCTACAAAAGTCGCCCTGAGAACGCTCAGCTCCTCTCTATACGCCCACTCGCACGTGCATCAAGCGCCCTAAGGTTCTGCAGCGATGGCAGCTCCGTTCTGGTCACTGACAAAACGGGAGATTGCTATCAATACGACTGTGTTGAGGTGGATGCCTCGCCACGTTTGCTTCTGGGACATTTGAGCATTGTCTATGACGTCTTGTGGTCGGAGGACCAACAGTATATTATCACATGTGACCGCGATGACAAGATACGGGTCACCAACTATCCGGCAACGTTCGACATACACAGCTATTGCTTGGGTCACAAGGAGTTCGTGTCTGGCCTGGCCATGCTCACGGAACAGCACATCATCTCGGCCTCTGGCGACAAGACGCTGCGTGTCTGGAACTACACTTGCGGCAAGGAGCTGCTGCTTCACGAGCTTCCCGCACCAGCTGTGCGGATGCTGGTGCGTCAACTGGAGCCCGAAAAGACATATGAGGTGGCCGTGCTCTTCTATGACTATGTGGACGCGATTGGCGTGTATCGGCTGGAGCAGACAACCACAGAGAGTTGGAGCATCACCTCCACCCAACTGGTGCGTGCCGAAGCGGGCACATGGAATATATGCAATTTTGCATTGACCGATGACCGGATCTATGTGACTGGAGCAGAGAATGAACGATTAACGCTGAGGGTGTACGATAGCAGGAATGGCGAGAGGGCCTCTGGCCTGCCAGAGGGTTGGCTGAAGATGGTCTTAGACAATCTAGATGTGGCCGCATTCATGCCCGAGGACTTGTCTGTTTGGTTTAAGAAACGATTCGACAATGTCAGCGATTACTTGGAGCGCAAGAAGCGTCGCATCGAGGAGCAGAAGCAGCAAAAATGTGGATAATTTACATACTTCGTATCTTTACATAGCATTTAATTAGTTTATCGGACACAATTAACGGACTATGTTTGACAAATCTGTTACATGAACATATTATATATATATATAAATATTTATGTGTGTTTAGATGTGTGTAATTTAATCTTTATTAAAGGATCATTTGATGCCATTAGACTGGCTTATAATCTAACTTGCTTTCCAGCTTCTTGTTTTCCGATACCTTGCGCACAGCCTTCATAAAGTCCTCCTGGATGACATACTCGCGCTCAGCCCTGCAGAAAAATCATATTCGATATTAGAATGACTTTTGGCTTTTGTGCGCCGGGACTCACCTGATTGCAAAGAGACCAGCCTCAGTGCACACATTCCGCAAATCGGCGCCATTAAAGTTATCCGACAACTTGACAATGGCTTCATAGTCGATCTCCCCGTGCTTGGCGATTGTCAGAGCATGAATCTTGAGAATCTCCAGTCTAAATATGGCACACAAGCAGCAAAATAGAAGTTGGTATGGCATAGCTATGGGGTATCGTTGCAAATAACTTACCGTGCCTGCTCATTGGGCAGTGGAATTTCGATTTTACGATCCAAACGACCAGGACGCAACAGGGCCGGATCGAGAGTGTCGGGGCGATTTGTGGCCATGATCATTTTCACCTGTCCCAGGGAGTCGAAGCCATCCATTTGGTTGAGAAGCTCCATCAGCGTGCGCTGGATCTCGCGATCCGCCGATGTACCCTCAGAGAAGCGACGGCCGCCAATGGCATCGATTTCGTCCATGAATATGATGCAGGGCTGGTGATCGCGGGCATAGTTGAACATCTCTCGGATGAGCCGAGCACTTTCGCCAATATACTTGTCGACAATGGCCGAGGACACGACCTTGAGGAAGTTGGCATCCAGCTGGGAGGCAACGGCACGGGCCAAGAGTGTTTTACCCGTACCAGGCGGTCCATACAGCAGACAACCCTTGGGCGGAGTGATACCGACACGCAGGAAAAGCTCCGGATTGAGTAGGGGTAGCTCAATCACCTCGCGCAGCTCTCGAATCTGCTCGGTGAGACCACCGATGGCCGAATATGTAACATCTCCGGGATCCTCATGCGACATATTGTACACCAAGGGATCAACTTCGCGGGGCAGATAACGCATTATGGTAAGTGTGGTCATATCCAGTGCCACACGAGTGCCAGACTTCAGTTTCGCTTTGTCCAGCTGTCGCCGGCACCCGACCACATAGCGGGGCCCGTTGGTAGCCTTCACAATGACTGAAAAGGGGGAAGGAAAACTATGACGAAAAATCCTTGCACTTCAAGTATGCATGTGTAAATATTACATTTATCTTCAGTTAGCTGCTTCAGGACTTCACCCACGATTTGTCCCACACTTTGCAGCGCCTTCAGATCATTCTCCGACTTGTCATACAGTTTTGTAAGTTCCTTGATCTCATCACGTTCTGCAACAAAAGGAAATGAAATGAATGTTAAATGCTTGCTTTGCCAGAATTGGGAAAACGTCGGACAGTACTTTCTTTCAGACGCCCTTCGATTTCCTTGTGCTCCAGCAGTTTCTTTCTGTAGTCGGACAGTGCCTTAACCCGCATATTATCGGGCATCGGAGTGGCAGTCACAGTCATTTTGCAGGCAAAATATTTATACTCGTTTCAAGAAAAGATTTTACAAAATTCGTATGGTAAATGCCGTGAATCTGCAGTTTTTGTTAGGGCTGCAAGACCATCGATGGCTTTGAAATCATGCGATGGATCGATATATTTTTCGATGATCGATGTATCGTTTGAGGGCCGAATTAATATCTCAAATGCTTTGCAGAATACAGCTTCGCTCCCATATTGGAAGTGTGAAATCATTTAGGTATTTAATTGTATACTAATTTGTAGTGTTTGTTTAAAAAATGTATGCTAAAGATTTTCGAAATAACATTGATGGTTTTGCATCCCTAGTGACCAACATTGGCAATCGATAGCTGTTCAATAAAAATATACGGATAAATACATATACATATACATACATGCACCCGAATTTAGTTCTTGGGATTGGTTTTTATCATAGATACTTTATTGCCAAAGGAAATGAGGCTTGTCCCTGCTCTCTTCAAAAGAGGAGTCGTCATCCGGAATGAGGAGAATTCTGCGCATTTCCTCGGGTTTCTTGCCTCGTATCATATCGGCCACGATCTTGCAAGTCAAATTGTGCAGGTTCTTGATATCCAGATAGTTGGCGGCTTTTATCAAACCATAGAGTTTGGCGTGGTCCGCGCTGACGAAATTTTGTACCCATCGGTGTACTTCATCCTCAGTGCAATTAAATTGAAATTCGGCCCACTCTCGCACCATCCTCAAAATGTCCGAATCTATATTCTCCAACGGCACAACGGCATCCTCATCATCCATCCAGCTTTCAAGAATCCTCCTTATTGTGCCTGAACACCTGGTAATGCAATCGATGTCCACTTCAAAAATCATCCCATCAGAGGACTGCAGCTTTACAGTTGTCTTGTTGTCCATCCCAGAAATGAGAAGTGTTATAATTCAATTCAATGATGTAATTCAGATACAGTAGTTTTAATGTCATCCGGATCCGCAGAAATAGAGGGAGAATATCGATAATTTCAGTATTTTGAACAGTTCAGAACCTGGTCATACTGGAGAAAAATGTCGTTGAAAGGCCAATTTATGCAAAATCTGCGACGATTTCGCCTGGTTACGTTTGATGTAACGGACACGCTGCTGAAGCTTGAAGATCCCCCAAAGCAATACCAGAAGACGGCAGCCGAATGCGGAGTGACTGGCCTCGACAGGAAGCAGCTGGAGCGCTGCTTTCGACAACAGTTCAAAATCATGAGCAAAGAATATCCAAATTTTGGTCGCTCTTCACCGAATCTTGACTGGCAATCCTGGTGGCTGCAGCTGGTATCGGGTACGTTTAGGTGCGTGGATGCCAGCCTGCCGGCCGACAAGCTGGCCACGATTGGGCAACAGCTCGTACGGGTTTTTCGCACCAGCGCCGGCTGGCGGCATGTCGACGGAGCAGCCGATTTGGTCCAGCGGGTCCGCGATTCTGGCAAATCTGTGGGCATTATATCCAATTTCGATCCGTCCCTACCACAAGTACTCCAGGCCATGGGTTTTGCCGGAAAGTTCGACTTCATTCTGACCTCCTACGAGGCTGGCGTTATGAAACCCGATGCGCGCATCTTTAAGATGCCACTGGAGCGCTTGAAAATTTCCCCAGACCAGGCCCTGCACATTGGCAACAAGTTCGACATGGACTATGCTGGGGCCCGCAACAGTGGCTGGAGCGGATTGCTGGTGCAGTCGAAGGAGGGAAACAAACAAGGCGACAAACACTCGTTCGCAAGCCTGGCCGCCCTTCTGAAGGCCCTCGAGACCCAAGAGATTGCCTGGTGACGTGACGCAGTGATTATTCTTTCGCCTCTTTGTTTAATGCATAACTTACTGGCTGCACTTATGTTTACAAAAATTATGAAACGAAACAAAGATATATATATCTATATGTGTGTAATGCATAATCTAAGGCTAATCTTAACATAATACGCGCATACTTAGTCACGGCTCTGCATTGATCGAATGCTAATTGCTCGATGCGATGCGATGTCACACGAGTATTGGGGATGTGAAAAAGTCAGACTCATCTTACATGCCTAGCCTTACATGCGGATTAAGCTATTACCTGATGACTTATTGAATATCTTTGTCAATATATGTACACATTAAATGGTCCCAGCCTTGGAAGACAATGCTGGGACAGACACACACACGGTCGTAAATACTATTGAACAGATTAAAAATAAGTTCCGACCCGAAATATATATTGGTTTGTTAGGGAATGCGTGTGGTGGTGTCCTTTCCTCCTCCTACCCAGTCTTGGTCTTTGGGTTCTACGTGGATTTTGTGGCCTTGGCGGGCATTTGGGCCTTGGCTGCCTTTAGCTGTTCGAGATTGAATTGCTTGCGTATTTCCGTCGACACCTGCCGGATGACCGCATCAGTGTTGGCCTTCAGATCCCGCTCGAGCACATCGATGTCCACGTCCTTGCTCTCCAGCCGCATCTGCATGTCCGAGTAGAAATCACAGAAAAGCACCGGCTCGTCGGAGCCGTTTGGGGTGCGCGTACTGCAGTATTGGCCCCGACGATGCAGATCATCGTTGCTAGACTTCGAGTCGAGAAAGCGCCGTGCACCCAGCGGCAGCTGCTGCTGTACGAGTCGCTCATGGTTCTGGGATATATGAAACTTGAGCTTCTTGAACTCCTTCACCTCGTTCTTCATGTACTTTACGTAGCTGTACATCTTTGAGGTCTTCTTCGTGAGGTTCTCCAGACAGCTGATGAAGTTGCGCACCTGCTGGGTTCGAGGCAGGGTGCTGGGATCGAGGCGTTCGGCCTCATCGAAGTGCTGCAGGGAACGATTAAAGTCATGCTTCATGGCCAGCGCTGAGGCGAGAACCACATGATTCTCCGCCACCTTGGGGGCATGCTCGACGGCAGCGGTCAGTATTAGATCGGCATCGATCAGGCGACCCATCCGAAAGAGTATTGTGCCCAGACTGAGCAGCGGTATGTCCTTGAAGATGGGCGGGGCCAGCAATGTGGCTAGACGGGCGCAGGGTAGAGCCTCGCGAGCATTGCCCCGCATTCGCCAGTAGTAGGAGCTGAGCGTGTGGAATTTCCATGACGCCGGATGATGCTGCAGTCCGTCAACAGCAAACCGTCGCGTCAGTTCGACGGTAGCAGTCCCGATATTGGTGTCATGCTCCCGCTCCACATATGCCGAGTCCATGATCTTTGGCTGGAAGCTTTCGAGGTGGTCGTAGGTGGCCGGGCCAACACTCAGCTTATGATAGTTGCTGCAGATGGGCTCCAGGGTACGTTGTTTCGTTCCAGTACTAGACTTTCCGTGCGGTTGATTCACGTCACTCTGCTCCGGAAGATTAATGCGTTTCAATTGATCTGGTGTGATCTTCAGATAGGACATTCGCTTTTCCAGCATGTAGTAGTCCATCGCACACTTGGCCTGTTCGGCCAGGTCTTCCCCGAAACGCATGGAGAAGCGCAAATGCTCGACAATCTGTTCCCGCTTTCGCAACAGGTCCAGGTAGGAGCGCTCAACGTACTCATTGTAGCGTATCTGCTCCAGGAAGGCAATTAGGTTCTGTGGCTCGCGCATGTGAAAGGGCGAGTCCAGCTTTTGGGTAATTTCGTCTTCCTTCAGCACCCAATGATTGCTGGCCGAGCAGCTGAGGAGCACATGCAGGCAGCCGACGGCCACGGCGAGCTGACAGACACGCATATTACATTGGAGTATGGTCCCACAAAGGGCGTAACTATAATCTGCACACCGGTTAGCAATAAAGCAGCACAGAGGATAATAGAAAAAACATCTAAACAAATTTGGTAAATAAACTGCGGCGATAGCCAGCCATTCTCGCGGAAGTGCCGATAGTTGCCATTCTCTTGTGATATGTACAGTATCGATAGCACTCGATTACTTCAAAAGCGTCCCTAATCACGTTCGTATAGGTGCGTGAAAAAATACAGGCTTCGTTGGACAAGTTGAAAAAAGGGTATGGGCAACAGGCCCAAATAGTCAACGCAAATTGCAAGCTTCGTACGAAACCTCACCTCGCGTGTGAGGACAACATACCTTGAGACTAAATCGGCTTTTTGTCTCCAAGGTATATTGGGCAAATGGGGTTGTTTTCATATTGCATGCGTTGTATTTTCTGTCTCGCTTTGCTCATAGTCCATACCCTCTTTTTCACATCAGTTTCCCAGCGCCTGAACGACAAAACAAGGCAGAAACAAAAAACCAATTGCCAGATGAACTAGTTTTTTATTTAGTTAAAAACATTTGTGTGAAAAGCAGAATTTAACAGTGCCGAGTGAAATACGTCCCGAGGTTAGATATTATAAATTCAAGTACTACATTGCAAAGCAATACTAAATTTTATGTTTTCGGCAAACACTTTTTTCTACCAAAAGGCGACGTGCAACGCACACAATCAAATATCTCACATACACATGTAAAACAGCGTACGCCGTGAGTTGAAGAAGTGTGTAGGTTGGTTGAAAAGAAAGCACACACACATATATATATATATATACAATTATATGCGCAAATCTGCCAGTTGGTCTTGCGGCTGTCCATCACCCCCCCTAGCCCAAAACCCCATCAATCTGACAAACAGGCAGCGAGCGTGCGGACCACGAGCCCCAGGCACAAAAAATTGTTAAATACAACAGATTGAAATTTCGATAAGCAGCAAAAAGAGGTAAGTGTTGTGAGAAAAAAAAAATAAATATGTGAAAAGCTGGGGGGTTGAGATGGAGGCAGCAACACAGCGGCGACGACGCATTAATTGTATGTATTGGTCAGCTGGTGCTGCTGCTGCTGCTTCTTCCCCCAACTCCTCCTCCTGCCTTTGTGCAGAAAGAAGCAATTGCGAAATAATCACAAAACGCCGCATAAATGCAGAGAATGCAATTTTTAACCGAGTCATTGCCAAAGTAGCAAAAGAATGCACGCAAAAGCTTGTACATGATTTATGCATGTGTGTGTGGGTGTCTGCATATTTGAACATATTCATTTGCATGTGTGTATGTTTGTATTTGCGTTTGTGTGTGGGCCCATGTGGTGTCGGCGTAAGCTTCTGGGTGTTCGTGTGTGTGCGTGTGTGCGTGTGTGTGTGTGTGTGTGTGTGTATGTATGTATGCGGTTTGATGTTTGTGTTATTTTGACATTTACCCATTTGTTGCAGAAACAGAACACCTTTTCGGTCGAACAACTGCAACGGCGCAAGGGCTCTCTCTCCAAGGACAGGACCCCAGCGACACACAAAGTCGAGCCCGAAGGGGCATACCCAAGCAGCAGCGCAAACTCGAAAAGCATAAGGGGACAAAAGAGGAGAAATAGTGATACCGTCGAAACCGAGAGGCGACACCGCCTGTTTCCAGCACCATTCAAGTCCCGAATAAGATGGAAATTGAAACAGAACAAACCATCGAAGCAATGGACACCCAGGATACCCAAGAGGTCGAGATAATCACTAGCGATCTTCACCAGCAGCAACAACAACAGCAACAACAGCAGCAGCAGCTCCAGAATCAAAACCAACAGCAGAATTCGCCCCCACAGCTGCCCAAATTCAAAAATCTGATACACCCACAATTGCACGCGGTCGGTGGAGTCACCCAGCTGCCCAACGAGAACGGCAACGTGCCGCCACAACAGCTGCTGGCCGACAGCAGCTCCTCATCGTTTACCACAATGGACACAATGACGTTGGACGACGAGAACAAGGAGGATCAGTTCCGTTCGGAGACCACATTCTCCTATACGGTGGATAATGTGGGACAATTGAAATCACAGCGTCTGTCACCGCCAGTGTACGTACGGATGCTGCCATGGAAGATTATGGTCATACCGAACGACCGCGCATTGGGCTTCTTTCTGCAGTGCAACGGGGAGAATGATTCGCCCACCTGGTCGTGCAATGCCATTGCCGAATTGCGTCTCAAGTGCCACAAGGCCGAGTCTCAGCCTTTCACGCGGGCCCGCATCAAGCATTTGTTCTACTCGAAGGAGAACGACTATGGGTATTCGAACTTTATCACTTGGCAGGAGCTGCAGGATTCGGAGAAGAGCTATATACACAACAACAGCATCACCTTGGAGGTGCATGTCATAGCCGATGCCCCGCATGGCGTTCTCTGGGATTCGAAGAAGCACACCGGCTATGTGGGCCTCAAGAATCAGGGGGCCACCTGCTACATGAACTCCCTGCTGCAGACGCTCTACTTTACCAATTCGCTGCGCCTGGCCGTCTATCGCATACCCACAGAGGCCGACGATAGCACCAAATCGGTGGGCCTCTCCCTGCAGCGTGTATTCCACGAGCTGCAGTTCGGCGATCGTCCGGTGGGCACCAAGAAGCTAACCAAATCCTTTGGCTGGGAGACACTCGACTCTTTCATGCAGCACGATGTCCAGGAGTTCCTACGCGTTCTGCTCGACAAGCTCGAGTCGAAAATGAAGGGCACCTGCCTCGAGGGGACCATACCGGGGCTCTTTGAGGGGAAAATGTCATCATATATCAAATGCAAGAATGTGGACTATAACAGCACACGCTATGAGACCTTCTACGATATCCAGCTAAATATCAAAGACAAAAAGAACATTTACGAATCATTTCAGGACTATGTCGCCTCCGAAACCCTCGAGGGTGACAACAAATACGATGCTGGCGTCCATGGCTTACAGGTGAGTCTCTGCCAGTCTGCATATATTGTATGATTCAATTTTTGATCCGTTTCTTATTCGTATCTCGTTTGTTTTGTAGGAGGCCAGCAAGGGCGTCATCTTCACGTCATTCCCGCCCGTTCTGCACTTGCATTTGATGCGTTTCCAATACGATCCCATTACGGACAGCTCGATCAAGTACAACGATCGTTTCGAGTTCTACGAACAAATCAATCTCGATCAATATCTGGCCGAGGGCGAGAAGACATCAGCGGACTATGTCCTTCATGCCGTGCTGGTGCATTCGGGCGACAATCATGGCGGACACTATGTGGTCTTTATCAATCCAAAGGCCGATGGGCGCTGGTTCAAGTTTGATGACGATGTGGTCTCCAGTTGCCGCAAACAGGAGGCCATTGAGCTGAATTATGGCGGCATGGATGATGAGATCTCGTTCCATGCCAAATGCAGCAATGCTTATATGCTGGTGTACATCAGGCAATCGGAACTGGATCGTGTCCTTGGCGATATACCTGAGAGTGAGATATCCAGTGATCTGGTGGAGCGTCTCGATCTGGAGAAGCGCATCGAGATGGCGCGTCGCAAGGAGCGCAGCGAGGCCAATCTGTATGTGTCGGTGCATGTCATACTCGAGGAGTACTTTGAGAGTCAACAGAAGCGTCGTCTCTTCGACTTGGAGAAGACCCATCAGCGTCCGTTTAAGCTCAAGCAGACCCAGACCGTCGACGAACTGGTCGAAATGTTCGTCAAGGGCTTTGGCGTCTCGCGCAGTCGCATGCGCATTTGGAACATGTGCACCGCCCAGACGCAAAAGTTTCTCTATTTCGACTTTGAGGCTGAGGCATCGCGCTCCATTGAACAGATACCCACATCACAGAAGCCATGGGTGATCTTCCTCGAGCTTGCCTCCCCGAACACCAGCGAACCGCTGGCGCCCTTCAATCCCAAGTCAGACGTGCTGCTCTTCCTCAAGTATTACGATGCCAAGAACAAGCGTCTCAATTATATTGGATGTACACAGCAGCCGCAGAGCCGACGCCTCATCGATCTGTGTCCGGAGGTTAACCGCAAGCTGGGCTTCGACCTGGACACCGAGCTGACCGTCTTTGATGAGTATGGCGACAAGAAGATCGCCAATCTGAATGATCCCATCGAGAGTGTGCTCTATCTGCCGCAAGACAATCTACAGGGGCAGATACTCATCTTTGAGCGTGAGATTATTGACATGAAACTGGATCTGCCAACGGTGGAGGACTACTTTCTGGATCTGGTCTATCGCATTGAGATTATATTCAGCGACAAGTGTAATCCCAATGAACCGGACTTTGTCTTGGAATTGTCGAATCGTTATAATTACGATCAGCTAACCAATGCGGTGGCCGAGCGCCTCAATACGGATCCGCAGAAGTTGCAGTTCTTTATGTGCATCAACAGCTACAAGGAGACGGCGGGCAATGCTGTGCCCTATACATTCAAGGTATGTAGTACCGATCAGCGATCACCGACCTTAATCCTTTAAGTCTCTAATTCTAATTATTCATTTATTATTCATCTTTCATCTTCTCAAGGGAACGGTCAAGGATCTGGTCTCGTACACCAAGCAGAGCACACCGAAGCGCATCTATTATCAGCGTCTTTCGTTGAGCATCCATGAGCTGGACAACAAGAAGCAATTCAAGTGCATTTGGGTGTCCAACGATCTGAAGGAGGAGAAGGAGCTTGTACTCTATCCAAACAAGAATGACAACGTTAAGGGGCTGCTGGAGGAGGCGGCCAAGAAGATAACCTTCCTGGAGAATAGCCGCAAGAAGCTGCGGCTGATGAAGGTTAGCAATCATAAGATTGTGGCCCACTGCAAGGACGATACACCGCTGGATACGCTGCTCAAGGCGAATGACTCGTCGATCACCACCACACAGAGTGCACAGAAAATTTATCGCATCGAGGAGGTGCCCGCGGATGAGATGCAGCTGGTCGAGAATGAATATCTCTTGCCGGTTGCTCATTTCAGCAAGGAGTTGTACAACTCGTTTGGCGTACCCTTCTTCACCAAGGCGCGTCACGGGGAGTCCTATGGGGCCCTCAAGCAGCGCATCCAGAAGCGTCTGAATGTCCCGGACAAGGAGTGGGAGAACTACAAGTTCACCGTGATCAATACGGGCCTGACCACCGAGGTGAACGACAACGATGTCATCAATTTGGAGAATTTCCGCACCTCGAATAGCGGACAGTTGCCCTTCCTTGGCCTCGATCACATTAACAAGTCACGCAAGCGCAGTTCGCTGAATTTCTCCGAAAAGGCGATCAAAATTTACAATTAATGTGAACACACAAACACAAAAAAGGGGACAAAGGAGTAGACGGATGATGGTTCTGCGAGTGTATGCGACTGGAGGCGACTGGTGGCGACTGGTGGCGAGCGGGGCTGGAAAGAAAATTCGACGAGACAGAAAGCTGAGAGGACATCCATCGATCGCACCGCAACGTTTCCCGAGAATAGAAATTTTAAGCAAAGCTAGAATCCAGCTCGAAGCCACAAGTGTCCCAAAAATTGTATGCCCCTTAAAAGCAGGCACCCTTAACCCTCCTCCTCCTGAACCCAAAGTAGAAATTGACGTGGATTTTTTTAAATAATATTATATCTAAGTCATAAAATTTATTTATTAATCGTCTCCGGTCAATTTTTAAATATGTTTGTGCGGCCAGTCCTACCCCAGAGCATGTCGGTCTCCGCCCCGATCCGGCCCCAGCCCAGGCAACGGCACGAAGTTCATGAGGAAAAAAGGTTTATAAATTTACTGACTTATTGCGCTTGCATTAGTGACTTCAAAATCTAGGCTAAGGCTTTCAAAGAATGTTTATTATTATTATTTTTTTTTTTTTCCTAAATACGATATTCCTAACGGCGGTAATTTAATTTCAAACTGGATTGAATCGAATCAAAATTGGAGTCTCGTATCCGATTGATTCATTTGAAATGCCGGCATACCTTGGTAAATTGTAAATATAAGTGTTTTCTTGTGCGTTTCGTTTTCCGCCTCCCGGGGAACACAGGCAGGAAAACAGCAAAAGAAAATGAATGAACACGCACGCACCTCACAAAGAAGAGATGAACGCGAAGAGAAGTGAAACAACAAAAGATACAGATATACATATATAAGCAGTGAGAGCAACAGTGCTGGTAAGCGGCGAAAAGAGTCGCTGGTGGCACGAGAGAGAGCGAGACAGCGATAGGTAGAGTTAGATTCCAACTAACGGTAAACAACAACAACAGCAGCAACAAAAAACACTTGCGAAATGGAACGGGACAGATGGATAAGCGAAGAGCAGAGAGAATAGAGAGAAGAGGGGCATATAAGATTTGTTTCAAACAATTATTTGTGATTTTAAAACATGAAATGATAAAAGTGTATTCAAAGGACTAGACAACATAATAATCTTAAATTAATAAAAACAACAAACAAACAAAAAGCATACGTATGTACCATAATATAACCAGGTTGAATGCTTTTGTTTTAATCTTTGTTAAATTATATAGCAAATCGTGCAGTGCCGTACCCGGAGTATGATCCGAAAGAACACACAGAAAACCAACTAACAAAAATTGCATCATGACAAGGCAATAGAAACACTATATATATATATATATATATATATATATATATATATATATATATCAACAAATATTACATTATTACTATGCTATTATTTATGCAAACAGAATAATTCAAATTATTTATGTGTAAAATAAAAAAACAAAGGAAAACCACAAACCACAAGTCGATTGTGCGAACAAAATATATCAAATCAATATTCCCATATGTTGATGGTATAGTATATAGTACTATATCTATTTATATATATTTATGTGTGTATATAAATGATTAAACAGCCGTTAACTCAAATGTCCCATAAGAATATCGGGACTATCCATGAATCCTTTTCCAGCCAAGCCAACTCCCCACATCTTTAAGTTTAAGGTTATGTGGGGGCGATCATCGATTAGCGATTACCGGTCGCCACCCCAGAGCTGTATTCCACACTGTATCCCACTCCCCCCAGAGTTGTATTGTATTCCAAGCCGTGAGCAACAAGAAGTACCGTAAGGGCGGAACACGCAGCCCCCATCCTTCCTTCTAACCGTTCGATCGAAAACGTGGGAGCTTGAATCTGTTTAAAATTGAAAATAAATTATATTTGATGTAGAATTCATTGGGAACGAACCATTATTTAATCGAATCTATTTCGGGTCATTTCTCGCTTAAATTATAGATTATATTTTTGTTGGACTACAGACTACTGGATAGAGCTTAGAACTTGCGACGCTTCAGCAGATCTGGCCGCCAGTTGACTGGATGCGTCTCCTCGCTGGCCTCGTCATCCTCCTTGTACACCTTGATTGTCTTGTCCGCCTCAGCGGTGATAAGACGCGTGCCCGAATGGTCGAAGCACATGGCAAATATACCCGCCTCGCTGTCCATGGAGCCGGGCTGGACGGGGGCCTGGAATCGCTGGAAATTGTAGCCGGTGCGCCAGTCCCAGAAGAACATGGTGCCGTTGTCGCCGCCAGAGACGAGCACACCATCGTTATTGGCCGCCATACAGTTGACAATGGCCGTGTGGCCGGAGATGTTTTGCACGAAGTTGCCCTCGGGACAGCGCCACTGCTTGATGTTGTCGGGCGAGGCGGAGGCGAACATGTACAACGATGGATGCAGCACAACGCTGCGCACAGACTTCTTGTGGTTGGTCAGGGTGCAGACGCTCTTGCCGGCAGCTAGATCCCACAGGCGCACGGTCGAGTCGTGGGATCCAGTGATGATCTGTGGATTGGTGGCCTGGGCCACCACACTAGCCACCGTATTGGTGTGCCCGGTCAGCGTGTGCACATTGGCCTTGGTCCTCATGTCCCAGATGCGAGCCGTGGAATCGCGCCCAGAGGTGGCCAGCACATCGATGGTCGGATGGAGGGCCAGCGAGTAGACTGCAGACAGATGGCCATGGTAATGTCGGATCACTTTGTTGTACTCCAGATCCCAGCACTTCACCTGACGATCCTCGCCGCAGCTGAACAGATACGGATGCTTGGTGCTGACTGCCAATCCCCGCACGGTGCTCACGTGGCCGGTGAGCGAGAGTTTCAGCTTACCGCTGGCCAAATCCCAGATTTTGATGACACGATCCCCGGCACCGGTGGCGAACCACTCGTTGCCCGGCTCTACAGCTATGCAACGGACCCAACCCAAATGTCCTGAAATAACGCGCGAGAGTTTCCAGGGTGCATGCCACTTGGGCTTCGGTATGGTGGGTGCCTTCTTTGGTATGAGCTGCAGATTGCTGGCGCCATTGGATCCGGGTCCATTGCCATTGTTGGGCATGGAGGCCCGTACGAGGGATGTGCTATTGCTACCCGGTATGGACAACACCGTGTCGGGGCGACGCGCATCGGCATTGAATTTCAACATGCTGTTAGCAGTGTCTGTGCTCCCGTCTGTGATGGCCAGTGGTCTTTCCACGGCATGTCCTGATGGTGTCCTTCTGGGCTCATTGGCTGTCGCAACCCTGTCAAGCAAGGAGCCATAGGTATCTTTGGCCTTGATTGACCGCCGCTGCTTGTCCCTGTGTCAACGAAAGTGCGTATGAAGCTTGGAGCTTTGTTAATGCGGATGGATCTGATCCGGAGTACTCACAGTCGGTCGTCGACATCTGGCAGGTTTCCTTGATTGGAGACGAACAGATCGTGTGTGCGCTTTAGGGAGCGGAATATAAGCGTGTGCACGCTGTGTTTTTGCACGTCCTCCATTGATCAAATAAATTAAATGTACTTTAGCTAAACAAAACAAAAATGCGGCTTCTTTGCTAGCCGACAAAACTGTCATTCACCACGGAACGCACGCACATTCGCTTGTGGGGGTGAAATCGGTTATCGATTTGGACTATCGATTTAGACCATGCAATAAATGAAAACGAAGGAACTATATTTTAAACCACATTTTCCTCATTTCCTCCACATTATATCTCAACATCTTCTCAGATACATTTAACAGACGCCAGTCGTAACAGACGCCAGTCCACCCGCTCGACACTCCCGCACACCCACTGAAATATGAATATAATCTGAACCTTTTGAATCAATTTCTCACATCGTTTCGATTGTTTTGTCTTGTTTTTTATTATTAGTTAGCGGGAACCGGCGACCCAGAAGCAGCATTACTCGATGACAGAGATGAGGATGTTGGGGAGACCGACGCTGACGAAGTGCTGGCCGCAGCATTGGAAGTACTATCCTGTGCCCCCGAAATTCTGGAGTTGAAGAACTGTTTGATCTGTCGGGAGTTGATAAACGAACGGAACGAACACTTTTAAATGCATCTAACAGAGGTTGTAACTGCAATGGCTTACGATGCGCTTAATGTAGTTGCACGAGGTTTCGTTGTTTGAACTCGATACTACGTTGTCCACTCGGTACGGTGGCGAAATGGTGACTTCGTTAAGGATCTGTATGTTCAGTCCCTGCCATGATACTTCATTGTACTGTGATTGCATGCATGCGAATAAAAGATAACAAGATGAGATTATATGGGAATTGACTTTTGCCAGACACAGTAATGTGCGACGCGTACCCCATATTGTTTGGCTATCGCTCTATAAAGTTCTTGTGCTTCTGAGCTCACGTCAGCGTTCTGGGACTTGAGATAGTCCTGACGACGTTCCACTGTTTTCCTCAGCCGCATTTTAACCTGCAAAAAGATTTAAAGGTTCACAACTTATCGCACATCTTCCGTTGCGGCTTACGTTGCTGCTCACCTGTTCCAGATTTAACTTCTGCGGATCATCGACGAAGTTCCCGTTGCACTCCTTGATCACCTGCACGTTGCTGCATAGCGAAAGATTCAACGCATAGATATCACTCAGCTCCTCCGTTGTCTTCGATCGGCATTCTGTTTTGGGGCAAAAAGGCAACAGCGGAAAAAGGTGGGAAAGTGGGAAGCGGGGAAAGAAAGAGGGGCGCAAATATTTTTGGCGCGATGTACGGAGAACCAAATTCTGGATGACTTAACTATTATATAAAAGCATCAATGGGATGCCCACAACACAACAGACACAACTCACTCTTTACAACAATTCAATTGGGTTTTTGACAATAAAAAAGGATACTCAAGATAAGCATCTTTGTGTTATGATCGAAGGCGAGAACCTCGCCCTCCACTTCCTCATTGAAACAGGTTGTGCACATCACTGTGGATCCAATGCTGAAGCAGTCGTTCACTGCATTGCCGGCGGTTGCAGTGGCAGCGGCCATCTTTAATTGGTAGACTTGACTTGGAGAGTGGAGTGGAGTCGACCTGGGGCCTGGCCTGGGGGTCGAGTTGGAGGAGCTGGGCAGCTTTCAATCTTGCAGAGCTTCGCTACGAATGTACTGTGCGCTGACTGGATTCTGTGCGTTCCGATTGTTTACACAACTTTGAACACGTAGTACGTGAGTATGTGATGCGAAACAACAATTAATATGACAAATCAAAAAAATTCAATTGAACCGTGCGAACGTTGTGTAGTTCTAGTTGTTTACAACATCGGCGCTGTGTGATCTGGACCTGGTTGACGAACGTAAGCGTATTGTTCCTGCTTCCACGGGTCTGTTACTTATGGTCTTCGTTTTGATGTTGCCGTTTGCCGCCGCGGACTCGCTTTCACATTCACGTTTCTGTTTCTGCCTCTAGCGTAGATGTCGCTTCATAGAAGTGATTTTCTAATCGCTTCGTTTCAATCTTTCCGCTTGAAACGAACAGCTGTGTTGGCCAAAAACTCTTGATCTATATGGAGTTCAAGCGTACAGTCGATTTTAAATACGTGTTTTTTTGTTTTGTAATTGAGAAAATGGAAAATATGCGAAAAAGTGTTTGGTCAACACACGAACAAGGTAGGGTTGCAAAACCATCGATGGCACTGTCGATAATATCGATGGTTTGGGAACTTTGCAATAGATAATTTGTGTTACGTTTGAGAGAAAAGTATTATTTCGAATTCTATAAAGCGAATTAAGCGCAATTTAAAAGGATGTGGGAAACCAATCTCCTAACGAGAAGCCTCCAACCAAAAAAACACAAATGGAATTATAGATATATCGATGGGTTTGCAGCCCTGGAAAGCAGCCGAAAGTAGTTTATGAACGAAGATATAAAAAAGAACTATTACCTGGAGTGAACGACGTAAATAGGTTCAGCTTAATCGTCCTTTTTTATTCACGATTGGGAAATGATATTACGGATTTTTAAATGCGATTTAGTTTTACCAGCGTGCTAGGACCGTCAGCGCTGAACATATAATTTTATCCAAAAAATTATTCAATTTTTTACACGATTGGCTGTTTTTTTTTTTACTATTTCACAAATATTTCTAAGCAATAGAGGTCTCAAAATTTTTACAGATTGAAGAATATTTTCTAAATGGACTACACCATACAGGGATGGAATTGTCATGGAGCTCTCAGTTTTGCTACTAAATATCGATATCGATTAGTATATTTTATGTACAGATCTTCGGCTTGGATGCAGTCCATCCGCCTTTAAATTAAATAGTAAATCGCGCGGAAAACATGGTCGAGCCGAAAACTACAGCACCGCACCAACGGACCCCCACTGCCGAGACCGTTCTCCCCCTCAGCCGGGTGCGGACAATCATGAAGAGCTCGATGGACACCGGCTTAATCACGAACGAAGTGCTGTTCCTGATGACCAAATGTAGTGAGCTCTTTGTGCAGCATTTGGCGCGAGAAGCCTACGCGGCCTCTTGTTCCAAGGAGACAAGTGATACCCTCAAGTATGAGCATCTCTCTCAGCTGGTGAACAAGAGCTCGAATCTCGAGTTTCTTCTGCAAATTGTTCCAGAGAAGATACGTGTGCACACATTCCAAGAAATGCTCCGGCTAAATCGTTCCGGCGCCACCAGCGATGATGACGATGATGACTCTGAATCCGAATCTGAGTCCGAATCGGATGAATGATACGCCAGAACCCCCATCGCCATCCTCACATCATCGACCATCGCTTCTTTACGCTCATTGCTTGTTACTAAACGTTTGATTATGCCGTTAATAATTTACTTTTTGCAGGTTCTATATTAAATTAAGTTCCGTGTTTTGTATGTCTCCAAATGTACTCTATATGAGTAAGTGCAGTTTTTAAGAATAAATAAATACGTATAATGAAACCATAGTGCATCTAAAAATACCGAGTTCCTGACAATCTATTCTATCCTTAACACTGTTCTTTCTCTGTAACTGCAAGAATTATATATACAGAAAAAATTTTACAGAAACCACGAATGGAATCGTGGCCAGCATAAGGTTTAGGCGCCATTAATCTTCAATTCTGAAATATAGTTATCGTAGGCACCCGGCCAGCCATGAATTAATTCAATTATCGAAACACGTTTGGATTTTTTGAAGAATAATTATAACATATAATTGCACTTGGATACGATTTGTGATGCGTTTTTAAACAGTTGCAAACAATTATGATTTAGGATTTCGGATTGCCTAGGCCTTTAGATAGGCGCCTGGATAGCCGGTGGCATTCAGGCCCGTCACCTTATAGGTGGTGCCCGCTGGGGCCGGCTGGTCGAACTTGGCCGCTGTTGTCACATAGAGAATGTCCAGGTTGGGGCCACCGAAAGCAGCCGAGGTAATCTGCTTGGTGGGGAACTTGATTTCCAACAGGACCTTGCCGGTGCTGTGTGGATAGCAAAACGGGAAAAACCAGGGGTTACAGCAGGAGGAAATGGAATAAACGATGGCTTTCGCAGGGACTTACTTAGGGTTAACCTTGAAGATGGTGGCACCGTTAAATGTGGCCACATAGAGATTACCCTCGGTGTCGATGGTTAGACCGTCGGGCAGCAGATGATCCTTGGGGCTGGTCTTGCGCAAGTTGAAGATCACCTTGGGGTTGCTGGACACGCCTGTCTCGAAATCGTAATCGTATGACTTGACCTCGTAGTCGGTGGTGTCAATGTAGTAGAACTTCTTGGCCTTCTCGTCCCAGGCCAAGCCGTTGGAGATGCCCACATCACCCTTCACAATGGACACCTGGCCGCCAGCCTCCCACTTGTAGAGCTCACCGTGACGGAACTCAAACTCATCGCCAATGTAGCGCATGGTGCCGCCAAAGAAGCGACCACGGGGATCGGCCTTGGCGTCATTCAAGCGGTTCTTATCCATCTCCGGCTGTACCTCGAACAGGGTGCGCACCACTTTGGCCACGGGCGAGACTCCATCCCAGTTGACAATCACCACGCGGCGAGCACAGCCAACGGCGAACTCCTGGGGCTTGCCCTCAATCGGCAGGACGAAGGCGGCGAAACTCTCGCCTTCAATCTGCGTCTTGTACACCTTGTTCTGCTTGAAGTCGTAACGAAGCAGTTTTCCAGCTTCCAAATCGACGTAGTACAAGCTCTGGGTGGCCACATCCCAGTGGGGACCCTCTCCCAGGCCGGCATAGGAGTCAGGAAGTGGTTCAACTTTGTAGGACATCTGCAAGGAGAGGACGAGATTGGAATTGAGTGAAAGTTGGAGCAAATCCACACGCCGCCACGCCACCCAAATGTACCGTCAAGCCAAAGAGAGCTCCCGTTAGGGCGATGGTCAGCGGGAGAAATCTGATGGAAGTCAGCATCTTGCACGGGCTCTGGGCGAATCGAGCTGTGTTTACCAACTGAATCTGCTGCCGCTCGATGGGAGGGTTTTTATTGATTAAAAGCCTGACATTAGCGGAACCAAACCGCGGAACACAAATCTGAGTCTCAGAGTCTGCGTTTATTTTCATGTTTTTCACAGACGCTGCAGCTGCGCACTTTTGACGTCATGCCCTTCACTTACGTTTGATTGCGTTTACCTTTTTGTATTTTAATTGACTTTTGATGTTCAAGCGCCTGGTCTGGTTGTTGTTGCGGTTGATGCTGCTGCTGCATTATAGTACTGGCTAAACGAGCATGCAGCTGCTGCAGGAAGCAGTTGGGCCGCCCCTGATTGATTAGTATGTCCACACAGTGGTAGCATTTGGCGAGCAGCTCTCACAATTGAAAACAAGGACTGATTCATATTTGAGCAATATTTGCGAGCTGTCTCGTTTAGACAGTACTTAAAGAGCATTGCACAGAACTGTTTGGAGGTATGTCATCGGGTATCGCTATCGAAAATGCACACTTGTAAATGCAACCCGGTGTACCACCAGCTGCATTTGGCCATAACGGTTCAAGGCAAGACAAAACAAACATCTTGCATTAATTAATTACAAAATCTCTGAATATTTTGACTTTGAAGCTCTCACTCACAAAACAAAAAAAAAATTATGCAAAAAAAAGGAGAATGGCCGTTCAAGGACCGTTGCAAGTTTGCTGTCCACAGGATCGTACATACCTTTGAATAAACGCTTTTTTAGTCTTGCAGAATAGAACAAATCCTTGAGCACTTCTCCGTCGAATAACGCGTTGACACTGAAGTTAATACGATCAGACCGAAACCTTTTTATAGCCAGCCGGCAGCCGGCTTTAGCGTGATATACAAACACACCAGCAGCAACACACTATGGATTGATAAGAAGCGACAATATTGGAGGGGCGCTGTTGCCTGGTCAGTAGCCAGAGAAGAGAACCAGAACCCAGGCACCAAAGAACCAGATAAGACATAAAGCCAGTGCAAATGGAGCTGCTGGAATAACGATTTTGCTGCATATTTATTATCACATCGCACTCAATGAAATGCCATTATTGTAATAGGAGCCAGACTTAAAAGGAATACAACTGCACAACTTTCTGCCGTATGTGGGAGTGGCGTTGGCGGTAGCTGATAAGCCACGAGGCAATTTTAATTATAATCATTTTTTTACAAGTACATATTTCATTGCCAGATACCTATATATTTCCGCTCCGCCTGTGATAACATGCACATGCAGTAAGGCCTGTGCGATAAATTCGCATCCAAACAGTCGCACTGTCGCCTGGTTAAGGATGCTGCTGCTGTTGTGTTGTTGTATCAGTTTGGACCTAACCCCCAGGCCGCTTCTTTAGTCTGCACTATCGGTAAAGAGGGGCCGAGAGGGAAGGGCCGTGACTTTGCCAAAATCTAGGAGGCCCAGACAGAGCCAGAATCTAATCGTTGCCAGTCATGACCCCTATGAGTCCTATGACTTGTAATTCTTTCTATTTTTGTCTTGATTTCAAATTTAAATTGCTCTTTAATTAATTGGAGTAAGATTTATTAGCATATTTGTACAATTGTCCATTGATAAGGGGACCATACAGCCTTTTACACTTCAAAACCGATATGATGAACATCAACAAAATTATGGCCAAATATTAAAACATACGTTAAACTACATACTTTTACCGTTTAATCAAATTTTACGAACATAGTAGGCCCTGAAACAGTTTACCTTAGGACTGAATTTACAAAATATTTAGTTAGTGACTCGGAGTTGTGGAGAAAACATGAATACGGAGCTCGGGAAAATTAAAATAGAAAACAAAATTTCGGAATTTTTAAATAAGTGAAAAAGTAAAAATTCAAAAATTTAAGAATAGAGTTCGGCATTCGATAAAAGTGAATATAGTAGGCCCTGAAACAGTTTACCTTAGGACTGAATTTACAAAATATTTAGTTAGTGTCTCGGAGTTTGTTGAGACAAGATATATACGGATCTCGGAAAAATTAAAATAGAAAAAAATTTCGGAAAGTGAAAAAGTGAAAATTCAAATTAAAAATATTTTGTTGGCGTTTAAATAAAATTTAAGAATAGAGTGCGGCATTCGATAAAAGTGAATATAGTAGGCCCTGAAAAAGTTTACCTTAGGACTGAATTTACAAAGTATTTAGTTAGTGTCTCGGAGTTTGTTGAGACAAGATATATACGGATCTCGGAAAAATTAAAATAGAAAAAAATTTCGGAAAGTGAAAAAGTGAAAATTCAAATTAAAAATATTTTGTTGGCGTTTAAATAAAATTTAAGAATAGAGTGCGGCATTCGATAAAAGTGAATATAGTAGGCCCTGAAAAAGTTTACCTTAGGACTGAATTTACAAAATATTTAGTTAGTGTCTCGGAGTTTGTTGAGACAAGATATATACGGATCTCGGAAAAATTAAAATAGAAAAAAATTTCGGAAAGTGGAAAAGTGAAAATTCAAATTAAAAATATTTTGTTGGCGTTTAAATAAAATTTAAGAATAGAGTGCGGCATTCGATAAAAGTGAATATAGTAGGCCCTGAAAAAGTTTACCTTAGGACTGAATTTACAAAGTATTTAGTTAGTGTCTCGGAGTTTGTTGAGACAAGATATATACGGATCTCGGAAAAATTAAAATAGAAAAAAATTTCGGAAAGTGAAAAAGTGAAAATTCAAATTAAAAACATTTTGTTGGCGTTTAAATAAAATTTAAGAATAGAGTTCGGCATTCGATAAAAGTGAATATAGTAGGCCCTGAAAAAGTTTACCTTAGGACTGAATTTACAAAATATTTAGTTAGTGTCTCGGAGTTTGTTGAGACAAGATATATACGGATCTCGGAAAAATTAAAATAGAAAAAAATTTCGGAAAGTGGAAAAGTGAAAATTCAAATTAAAAATATTTTGTTCGCGTTTAAAATTTAAGAATAGAGTTCGGCATTCGATAAAAGTGAATAATTCAAAGCAGTTAAATCAAAATTATAACAAACTCAAATTCAACAGTTAAATCAAAATTATAACAAACTCAAATTCAACATATTTCGTTCTTTGCTCTGTGATTTTGTGGAGGGCGGTCCTCCTTAAACGACGGTGTTTCCATTTAATTGACCTATTAACATTAATTATTCGTCAATACTGGATTTTTAAGGTAAGTTAAAGATCATTTAAACATATATAGGTCCCAATCGACCCTCCATCATTTATTAATCTCAATTGTGCATTCATAGCCTGTGCACTCATACACTTTAAAACTTAGCCGCGCAGCTCCAGCTCTAGCTCAAGTGTTCAAATAAACAGGGCCTCAGTGGGCTAAGTTCGTTTTGTCATTGGTATATTTACAGTATATTTAAAAATGTGAAGAAGTATTTTTTTTCTTATTTTCTTGCCACCACGTCTAGCAGCTCACTAGCAGCATGTATACTTTTCATAGTTTTTTTCTAGTATTTACTAGTATATTTTAAGACGCGCTATGGACCTCCACCCTCCTGTCCAATGCACCAATGTAGAAATCGCGTAGAAACGCCACTTAGAGCCATGTCCCAGGCCACATCGAATACTAATTCGTGCTCAGCATTGAATTCCTGGTCGTCTGTCATCAAAATCTACATTTTTCAAAATATGTCAGAATAAAAGTCTTGTCAAAAATGTTTTTCACACTGGCGCTTCAATGGGGCTTATATGAAAAACACGGGCAACAATTTTTGAAACTTACACATTTCCCCTCCAGGTGTCGCCTTCTGTAATTACATAAACATGTAGTTAATATGTAGCGCATGTGTAGTTAGCGTATAGTCACCATGTAAGGATATTAATTTAGTGGACATTTTTGTTGGCCTGTTTTGCTTAAACCTTATTTTACAAACAATCCAATAAGGATGAGAACTTAAAGTTAACCAGTCTTGTAGTTAATTGATTCATCAATCATATAAAAATATGTGGGCAAAGTTGAGAAATCTATATAGCTAGTAATATTCCACGGAAGATCAAAAACGAGGAATTTGTAAAATAGAACTTGAATTCGTCAGTATATTTACGGTATATTTTTTAAATGAGACGGTATGTTTCGGTATATTTCTGAGGGTCGGACTGCTATAGGTCAGACTGCTACTCAGTTAAAAAAAATTGTTGTTTGACCATTTACGCTATAATCGCTTTATACGCAAAATGCAATAAAAGCAAGTATTAAGAATAAAACAGTTAAGTAGAAAAATTATTTATAAATTGTATAAAATTATGTGGGCATGGCTAAATGTCCTATATAGCTGAGAATATTCCCCGGAATATCAAAAACGAGGAATATGTAAAATAGATATTGAATTCGTCAGTATATTTACGGTATATTTTTTAAATGAGACAGTATATTTTGGTGTATTTCTGAGGGTCGGACTGCTAAAGGTCACACTGCTAAAATTTTTGCAAGCGTCCAGACGTGCGTTCCGATCGCGGAATTTGTCAGTTTTATTTTTTTGTGTGCGATTTCGTTCTGCCTGCCAAACGCCAAACGCAGCGACCGAACTGAGGAGCAGGAGTAAGTCCGATCGGCTGAAGTCGACCGAATGTCGAAATGAAGCGTGACGACAGGGCGAATGTGCTCAGCGCAACGAAAAGTGGGCGCGAGTGATTCCGAGAAACAGATTCGATTCCCAATTTGTCGTGTCGTTCTCTCGAGCTCAAGAGAACGAAAACAACGCGAAGTAAAAGTGAAAACGTGCAAAAGGCATAGCGCAAAAGAAAAACAACAACAAACTAAACTTCGGAAAAAATGTGCGACACGGCGGCAACAACAGCTACACCAGTGGTGGCAGCTACAACTGTGGGAGCGGCTTCGGTGTCTGGCACTGGAACCAGCCAGGGAACGGCAGCGGCTACACCAGCGACAGCAGGAGCCACACCGCCAGCTACAACCGCATCGAAACCCGAGCAACAGCGGGCGCGACAAAACTGCTGTCGCCTCTGCATTGCCCCGGCCACGGAATGCATTTCGATCATCAATAGCTATGCGGCCGACAAGGAGCCGCTATCGACAAAAATCCACAACTGTGTGGACATCAAGGTGAGTGGAGAAGTGTACGAGTCTTTTTTGGGGCTTGATGCATCCCAACGAATGGATCGTCCAGTGCACACGTAATCGGTCGCTGCCGCTGTCGTCATCCCACATCCAAATCTACCCCAGTTCCGTTCCCGAACCCAGTTGTATAGCAATATGTACACACATTTCCCCTCAAACCCATCGGAGAAGTAGGCGGATCAGGCATAGGCCCTGTTCCAGGCCCCAGCCACACCCGAGGGCAGCATGATGAGATTTCTTGTGGTTGTGACGGATTTTTGTAGCTTTCGTGGAAAAATTTGTTGGTTGCCTTTTCGCTTTTTTTCTCGGTATGTGCATATGGCTATGTGTGTGTGAGTGAGTGTGAGTGTGCATCTGTGTGTTTGTGTTTGCGAGTGTTCTGGGATGGCGTCCCTTGTCATCAACAAATCGACGGCGGCAGCGTCGTCCAGCCATGGTTGGCTGGAGTTTCATTCCGAAGAGCATCCGAAAAGTGAGGTTACGGATGAAGCCCAACCACAGGCAACGGCCGCAGCCACAGCCACAGCCACAGCCACACCGTTGTGCAAGCGCTGGCGACGCCGACGACGACGACAACGATGAGCGAACGAACCGATGGCCACCAACAAAAAAAAAAAAAAAAAAAGCAACCAGCCAACCCCGCCTACCTTTTGCTTCTCTTGCTCCTCTTCCTCCTCATCCGTCGAGTTCTCTGTGTGTGCGTTGGGTGTATTTGTGTGTGTGTGTGTGTGTGCTCGCGGTGCTGTCCATGCTGTGCCTCGCCGCATGGTCCGTGTCGGGTTGGGTCTGGTCTGGTCTGGTCTGGCCACGCCAGGGCCTGGGGTTTCTGTTTCACTCACTGCCAAGTCACGATGCCTCGATGACGCGACAGCAGCGACCGACCGAATGGAATGGTATGGACTGGAGTGGATTGGCTAGAGGGGCATTCATTGGTATTGGTGCACACAACCCGACCACAATCTGCTTTTGTACGCTGGCCCGCCGCTCTGCCGCTGCTGGCTCGCTGGCTGGCTTGCTGGCTGCTTCATCATAATCAACTTGAACGAACTCCCTGCCTGCCCCGACCCGGCACACGGTACACTCGGCCTGGCATGGCATGGCATGGCACGGTCTGCGCTGCCCTGCTGGCAATCGATTCTTCCAGTGCTTTGTGAGGTTAGGAATGATCCTGCCTCCTTGCGGAAGAAGTGCATCTCTTTTCTAGCTTTTATTTTTGTTTATTCTTTGTATTTACCAAAATATTTAGGTCTCGTTGCTTGTTCTTCTTCGACATCGTCTTCTTCTTCCTCTACTTTTGCTTTTGCTTTTGCTTTTTCCCCACTTCTACTTCTACTTCTGCTACTGCTGGTTGGTGTTGTTGTTGTTTTCTCTGTTCTGGGCTCTTGTGCTCCAGCTAAACAGAAGGAAAATATGCGAAGCGAATGGCCAGCACAAAGCATAAAGCACAATGAGCGGCGCACTGGTCGAGGCCGAGCGTCGCTGCTGCCGCTGCTGCTGATACATGGCAGCTGTGTATGTGTGTGTATATGTGTGTACTAGAGATGTGACGTATGGATGCGTATGTGTGTGTGTGTGTGTATAGCTCTGCCTGGACAGGCACGCTCGCTCGCCCAGGCAAACCAACGGCAATTACATATAATTTTGTTGTTGCTTGTGGATGCTTCCTTCCTTCTCACATTCCCTGGAATTTTAGAGAGCATGGATGGGCTCAAGGAAATCTTGGAACAGCAAAAGCAGAAGCAGCTGCTGCCGCCGGTTGCTAGATTTCAATCTGCCGCCGCCGCTGCTGTGCTGTTCCTCCTGCTGCTGCTACTCCTGCTCCTCACGGCCCAGGTCGTGCTCGGTCCTCTCAGGCATAGGCATCCAGTCCACAATCCATCCATCCGTTTATACCCCCACCTTTTGATTGCTTCCTGCCCAGCGCTCTCTCTCTCTATCTCTTTTTCTCTCTCTGACTCTGCTCTCTCTTTCCGCGCGTGCGTCCTTTGGCTGGCTTCCATTTGGATGACGACGACTATGATGGTGGAGGACACTCTTCCTCCACCGGTGGCCCTCTTTAAATGGAAACATGGGCAAGAACCAGAACCAGAACCAGATTTTGTGTTGGCTTCACTAGCTTCGTTTATTGATTCTGTCAAGAGCCGGTTAGGACCATGCCCGTGCTCGTGCCCGTGCCCATGCCCGGCACTGGCGCTGGCTCTGCCCCTGGGCCCAGTTTGTGTGGCCCTCATCGTCATCCACTTTGTTTTTTCCTTTTCTGTTTCGGTCGCTCGGCAGCACACAAAATGGTTGCCCCCGACTGTGGCCTGCGCCCCCGGCATCGACATCGTTGTCGCCATCGCCATCGCCATCGCCCGCACTCGGCGCACGTTGCTGCTGCGTGTGCTCTACCCTGCTCTGGGGCTCTGGCTATGGCTATGGCTATGGCTATGGGCTCTGGTGGCTTGGTCTGCTTTGGGCTCGATTTCATGGCAATTGCTCTTCATACACGAACACATACACAGACACAAGCACAGCCACAGGCAGAGGTACTCTCGCACAGGCACAGGCAACGGCAACGGCAGATGCAGAGCACAGCACAGCAGAGGCGAACCCGACGACGATGACGACGACGACGACGAACCGACCGACCGAGCATTTGGGTTGGCGTCATCGCTAGCTCGACTGCTTCTGCTGGCTGTGGCTGTGGCTGCGGGCTGGGCTGGCTGGCTGGCTGACTCTTGCTCTGTTCTCGTTATCTGGAGGCGGACCACATGCTCTCCGCACAAATACACACACACACAGAGGTAAAGAAGCATATAGGTACATGGACAGTGCAAGTGGCAGGGAAACAGGGAGGTGACACATACACACACACACACACACACACACACACAGAGAAGACAAAGGCAGGCCGGGGCCCAGGCCCAGGCCCAGGCCGGACCGGGTACAATTCGAGTGGTTTCACCTTGGGCAAACTCTGGCTATGGCTATAGCACTTGGCTCTTCACGCAGATTACCTGATGGGCATGGGCATACAAACAAGAAGAAGCCGCTGCTGCTGCTTCAGTGCTTCAGTTTTTGTTGTTGTTGTTGTTTTTGTTGCCGTTGCTGGCGGCCTGGTTGGCTTCTCTTCTTCCTGCCTGATGCCCGATGCCTGGGTGCCCGTCGTCGTCGTCGTCGTCGTCGTCGTCGTCGTCGTCGTCGTCGTCGTCTGCCGCCTGCATCCCGCATCGAATTTCGTTTGCATCATCATCAGCACATCTCTCCACCATTTTGTTGTTGCGTTGGTTGGTACACATATTTCTGCTGCTGCTGCTGCTGATGATGATGATCCCCAGGTGGAAAACTTTCTCTGCCCAGACCCAGACCCAGAGCCAGTGCCAGTGCCAGACGGGGGGCACAGCGTGACCGAGCGGTTACGTGCGCATGCCTCGGTCTCGCATCTCTTCCAGCTTCTTCAAGCCTCAGCCTCAGCTCCAAACTCCAGGCAGCGGCAGTGCCCACGTAAGATGATGAGAATCTGATAACATAAAAAGAGGATGCAGAGAAGAAGCCTTTGAGACACACACACACACACACATATGTAATGATTCGATGTGCGTGTTTGTGTGTGTATGCGGCTCGGCTCATAAAAATCCAAGATGGCCGTTGGATTCACTTGCTCCTCTCTAGCAGCCATCCATGGAATGGAGCCACAACATAAAAGAATATCCTTAGAATAGAGCTACCCATAACGTTAAATGAAAGAGAACATAAATAGAGTACCCCTAACGCCATTGAATGCGATCGATCAGCTGATGGTAGAAATATTTACATAATATCGCTGATATATACCCACAAATCTTTGGTGATTGTTCATTTCAATCGTCTTCCGCTCGCTCTCTCGCTCACTCTCTCCCTCACTCTCTCCGATCTCCTGCTCCTGCTCCTGCTACAATATATGAGGGTAACATTCTTCTACGTCTTCACCTTTTGTGTGTGTGTGTGTGTGTGTGTGTGTGGACGTGGACAGGACGCGCGCTCTCTTTACCTCACACAGCAAACGAATAAGGACACAAAAGGAGAAGCGCGCAGCAAAACCCGTTCGTGGCGGCGTGGCTTGTTGGTTGGGACTGGATGGATGGACGGCGGAGGAGCAGCAGTTGTGCTCTGGGATGGGATGCCTGCCTGCCTGCCTGCCTGCATGCCGTCGCCCTACTCTGTCCTTCTCCGCTGGCTTGGTTGGTCGTTGATGATGATGTTGATGATGATTGCACCTGGTCCGCCAGCTGGTGGACTGCACCGACACCATGTTGGCGGCAGCTGCTGCAGTTCTTCTTCTTCTCTTGCTTTCGTTTCTCACACACACACACACACACACACACACACACACACAAATAGTCGGGCTGTACAGTTATTTGGATGACATATCAATATCTCCCTTCATTTGGACGACTTTCAAAAAGAAGGTCTTGGGCTGAAAAAAGGTTTCCAAAATATTGATGTATATGGACGAATCCATGTATAGAATGCATGTAATTGTATTTACATATGTATGTATGTACATATGACATGTATATTCCCAACCTCAAAGCGAAACTTTAATGGTTAACGTGAGTGTGTGTGCGTGTGTGTGTTTTGCATGGGATTGTGGTTATGTCTGGTCAATAGGCAGGTCCCCCCAATTTCATATTAAAGTGCAGTTTCCAGCTTAAATGTATAGCAGGGGGTGGAACTGTGGACTGTGGAGTTGGGGACTGGGAACTGCCTGCATCCAAGTGCAATCCATCAGAATTTGGAGAAAGAGATGTGCGGAAACATGGCACGAATGTGGCGACACAGTCAGTTCTGGTGTGGGGTGTATAAGGTGAATGAACAAACATATTATCGGAAGAAGAAGAAGCAGAAATCCCATCCAAAACCCCCCACCCACTAAAGCCAAAATACATACAAGTCTTGCTACTTGTTGGGGATGGGATGGAGGGATGGAGCGAAGTACTTGCATACATAAGATTTCGCACACACACACAAGAAGAGATGGTAGTAGTATATAAGCAACATGAGGGAGTCAAGTGGAATGGGCTGATTCGAATTCTTGTGTATTGGGGCCTGGCTTGGGTGGCCACAATGAATCGCCATCACCGCCGCCGGCTTGAGAAAGCGCAGAATGTGCTCTGGAGGGGTGGTAGAGAGGGTTTGCGCTCTATGTTACTTATTGAATTCTTTATTCACACACACACATTCAAAATTGTCTTGCCGATAACCAATAATAACAGCTAATGACGGCTAATGATATCGATAACCAAAGTGCAACACTAGTGATGTCGATAGCCAGAATTCATATCGATATGATTTTTGAGACCACAACAAGAATCTACATGAGCGATACTTACATAGTATATAGGAGGGCACGCACAAGTATTGTTGTTACATATAGAAGGCAGCGGGAATACACACACACACACACACACAAACAGTGCGCACGCAAACAGTGTTATCGGGCAGAAGGACATTTCATATGATTGGCGGCGCATTGTGCGTGTGTAAATGTGCGCTCTGAAAGGAGAGGGGACTGAGACTGGGAGTGGGAGTATGGGGCGCTGCAGCAGTTTTGCTTGCATATAATTATAAACAGGTCATTGACATTAATGGGGGGTGGCTATGATAGCTGGAGGATGCTGCTGCAAATGCGAATGCGCCTACCTGCATTCATGCTCTCCGCCTGACTGGACACACCAAACCGTCGGTGGGGATGAGGGGAATGGGATGGATGCAATCTTAAAGCTTGATTCAACTTGTAATTTGTGTATTTGTTTTTTTTTTGTTGTATTACAGATAACACCACAAGATCGGCTGTCACTTCAGATCTGCCACGCCTGCATCAGTTACCTAAACTCGTGGCAGAGCTTCAAGAATCGGTCGGTTAGCGCACAGAACAAACAGCGGCAGTGGCTGGAGGCCAACAAGAGTAAGCTCCTCAGCTATTTGGATTTGAACAGTGCCGAGAATGGAGGAGGTCATCAGCAGCATCACCATCAGAACCAGCAGCAGCATCATTCGGAGAATGAGATCGATTTGGAGAAGCCATCGGCCGCCCAAATATTGGACGGCATACCCTCGCTGAAGAAACGCAAATCCCTAACAGTCTATGTGAGTCCTAAACCGCAACAACAACAACAACAGCATCAGCAGCAACCGGCCAGATTGACGGCGACGGCTACGGCGACAGCAACCTCGTCGCAACAGCAAACCCTGCAGACCCTTCTATTGCAGGTGCCAACGATAACGGTCAGCTCCTCCTCCACCACACCAGCATCTGGTGGTGGATCAGCATCAGCAACAGCAGCAACAACAACAGCAGCGGCCGCAGTATCTCAGCAGCAGCAGCGCCAGCATCAGTATCGTAAATATCAGCAACAGCAGCAGCAGCAGCGGGGCAAACAGATGATGCACCAACATCAGCAGCAACAGCAGCAACATCATCAACAGTTGCAGCATCATCAGCTTCTGCTGAAGAGACGCCAGCGACAGGCGGGGCGACGTCCTGCTCCTCAACCTACTGGTCTGCCTGGACAGCGAAAATTTAAGCCAAGAGTGTATTTACCCTTGGATATAGCAGTGCCACCATTGCCGCCACTTCCAGCACCAACAACAAGCACTGCTGCTGCTGCTGCTGCTGTTGCTTCAGCACCAGGAGCAGTGCAAATTCTGGCTCCCGCTGGTGCTAACCATCCGGTTCTTCATGCTGCTGAAATACTGCCACCGTCTGCTGCCACTGTGATGGGGGGGAATCTGCCGTTGTCGCTGCCACTTGATTTCAGCCAAAGTACCAGCAAGAACGTCTTACCGTCCACGTCCACATCCACGTACAGCCATAGCACCACCATAGCTCACGCCACCGCTGCGGCTGCGGCGGCGGCATCTGCATCTGCTACCGGCATCTCGTCCGTCTCCGTCTCCATGCACCAACATGCGACAGCACCGCTGCTAATGCCGGTGACTCTGCAGAGTGCCGCACAGCAATTGCGATTTTTCAGACGCTACTCCTATAATGTAATTGTATCGTGCATTCGAAACGATTCCTTTCGTGTCCCCCCGCCTTCCCACAATCTCCGTGCCCTTTCCCCTTCCCCATGCCCATTACCCTACCCTACCCTACCCTACCCTACCCTTCTCTTCCCACCTGAGACACAACTACAATTTTTTACAGGAGATAATTTCGATATTGTTTTCGTTTTTGTTTTGCTTTTGCACTTCACTTCTCTACCTGTTATCCCGATATATCCCATAATGCTGCCCATCACAATCATTATCGCTCACGATAAAAGACAACTCTGGGCTAACGGGTATCGATAGTCGGAGCTAAGGCCCGGCTATATATTTCATTGTTATCGTATTTGATTCGTATTTGATTCATTTACCGGCCGATCCTCTAACCTTATCTTCTTGCTCCTTTCTTTTTCTTCCATTTATTTATTTTGAAACCATTGAAACAAACTTTAGCCACTGCCCGCAATTCCCATCAAGGATGAGCCCATTGACACAGATGATGACTATCAAATGAAATCGCTGGACGAATCCGATGACATGGTCGATCCCACAATGTTCCTAGAGCGCTCCGAGCACGAGGGCGATGTACCATTAATGGTAAATGCGAATTTCTAGTCTTTATTAAAAAGTTTTCTAAATTCACACTACATTTTCTCCGTCACAGACCTCCGACTATGATTATACGGCGCAGCATGGTGTGAACGCAGAGACGGCGGCCGCCTCGCTGCCACCAAATGCTGTGGCTAATGTGGCCGCCGCCGGGGACTCGAAGGTGGCCAGCTGCCGGGCATGCAGCCTCCAGTTTTCGACACGTGCCAATGCCAGGCGCCATGAGCGAAATTTGCACCCAAATCTGTTCCAATTGTCGACGGACTCGCCCAACAATACGCCCATCACAAAGCCCACCCCGGCACTGGCGGCTGCATTGGAGATTCAGCGTGCCGCCGCCGAAGCGGCCACCGAGGAGGCCAGCAAAGCTGCAGGCGCTGCCGGGGGTAATATATCGACCCAAAAATACCGTCAGGTGGTGATGAACGCCTTCATCAAGTGCGAGGGTGGGGGCTTCAACTATGACAGTCCCGAGCAGTACCAGCCGCTGCTCACCCGCGACAAGGTGGAGTTTATCGAGCAGAATTACGAATTCCTGGAGCAGTACCAGACGATGACATGTCGCTGCTGCGACAAATACTTCAGTACGTACAAGAACTTTATGGCGCATGTGCGTAAAAAGTATCCGCTGTTGCCGCGCAATCTCTGCTTCAACTGCCTCAAGATGAACGAATCGAAGGCTCTGTTCATTTCCCATCTCAAGAAGCGCAACTGCATCAATCTATTTCGTGTGCTGAACGCCCTGCGCGGCAAGCAGCCAAATTTTCACCCCTCATCGGACATTGGATCGTCGTTCGGTGGAGAGACCACCACCACCACCACAACCATAACCAGTCCCAATGTCGTTGTACCGCTGCTGCTGGATAACAGCTCGAGCGGCGAACGGCCGGAGAAGCTGCGCGCCAAGGAGCTGCTGGTGAATAAGCTTTACGAGTGCAAACTCTGCCCGAAGGGCTTCCGCACCAAGCACGAGTTTCGCACCCATGTCTACGACAAGCATGCGGATGTGCAGCGCAAGGACAACAACTCGATTCAGTGCAGCTTCTGCGGCCTGGACTTTGCCGATCCCGTCGACAGGCGCCGCCACTACAACAACATGGACTGCATTGTTCGCCTACGCTGCATGACGTGCGACGCCAAGGTGGAGACGCATCAGCGTTTTCTCGATCATGTCTATCAAGATCATCTGGGGGGCATAAGCAGCGACAATGCCTCCACTGTGAGTGGATTGGGCGGCGGCGGAGGCGGCGGTGGCAGGAGCAGCAGCAGTATTGAGAACTCGCCCGGGAAGCGGAGTTTACTAGGGGCTCTCGGGATCGGTGTTGGCTCCCCCGCCGATGAGTCACGCACCGGCAGTGCAGCGGCGACAGCGGCAGCCGTAGCACCCAATCAAACCTCCACGCCAAAGCCGACATCGGGAGGTGGGGCGGGCACAACACCTGGCTCCCTGAATCGTGATGCTGGTGGTGCACCGAAATCGCAGTATTTTTCACGAATGCCCCAGGTATGCCCCATCTGTGGCCAACAGTACAACAACTACAACAACGTGCTGCGTCACATGGAATCGAAGCATCCAAACAAACTCCCGGAGACCTACAAATGTGTGCGCTGCGGCCTGGGCTATCCGAGAATCTCGTATCTGCGAGAGCATATGATCAACGTGCATGGCGTGGACAAGAATCGAAATTCGGGCGGCTTTGAGTACATTGTGAATGCGGATGCCGTGAAGCTGGCCGATGGCAGTACACCGAATGTGTCCACGGGTCGTTACGACTATGTGATGAAGGATCTGATGTCAATAACAAATGGTGGGACACTCGGTAATTAGGCTTAGTGTGTAGACGTCCTCCTCCTCCTGTACCGTAGCCATCTCTCTGTTCATCTCGTACTCTCTAGTAGCATTTTGATTTAATCTATAATTTAATGCTTTCTCGTGTTATTGCTTAATCGAAACCCCCACCCCAACCCAAATCGAGGCTAATCCTGTTTCTGTGCTGTATTTTGTGTGATAATTCCAGATGATGACGAGGAGGAGACCGGCAGCATGGCCAAGAAGATACGCCTGGACGATAGCAGCAACAACAGCAGTCTGGTGGGTGGGGTGGCCAGCCAGCAAAAGGAATGCCCCATCTGCAATGCACTGTTCAGCAACAATATCGGCCTGTCGAATCACATGCGCTCACATTACACGGCCTCGAGTACCGTGAACGCTGCTCTGGTGGCGGCCAATCGCATGACACCCAAATCCCTGACCATAACCGCCGCCCCAGCCATAGAGACGGTCACATCATCGGCCTCAGTCGATGTTGACGATGACGAGGGCGTTATGCCGCTCGAATCCGGAAATATTATGGCCAGCGTCAGCGGTGGCAGAGGTGTTGCTTCTGCTTCAGCTATTGCTGCTGTGCCTCCTGCCATGGTTAATCAGACGCCTCAAGAGCAGGCCGTCTTTCGTCGCAGCCTGGACCAGGCGGCGGATCGTCGCTTCCGCCGGATGCGTTGCCGCATCTGTCAGCGGCGTTTTAGCTCAAAGAAATCATACCGCTATCACATGCTCACCGACCATCAGGTGCAGAATGTGCAGTTTATCAAGTGCAAGCTGTGCAATGCAGAGTTTGCCTACGAGAAGGGTCTCAAGGTGCATCTGTTCAAGGTGCACGGACGGGCCATCAAGGATGAGATGATTGTGAAGCAGTTTGAGTGCGATGTCTGTTCGATTGTCTACAGCTCGGAGCTGGAACTGAAGCAGCACAAGCAGAGCGTCCATAAGCTGACATCCGTGTCGGTGTCTGCATCCGCCTCGGCATCGGCTTCGGCTTCTGCCTCGGCATCCACATCCTCGAAAATCGATGATGATTCTATGATGATGGAGGACATCGGTGGCAATAGAAGCCGTCACCATCATCAGCAGCACAGCAAGGCATCTGGCGATCTGGCCGATCAGTCCATCATCTCCGCCATGGCTGCCACCGCCACTGCCAGTGCCACAACGACGCCGCTCTACTGGTACCAGTGCAAGTACTGTCCCTCCAACTTTAACACCAACAAGAAGCTGGCCATCCACATCAACTCGCACGATGAGTTCGACTCGAACGATTACTCGTGCAAGGACTGCGGCAATGTCTACAGCGGCCGCAAGAGTCTATGGGTGAGTTTTGGCATCTGTTTGGCACAACCATTCACCGATTATCGACTTATACTGATTGTTTGGGATGTGATCTCTCTCCCTCGTCGCAACAGGTTCATCGCTACAAAAAGCATCCGCAGGTGCCGGACCCAATCGAGTGCATGCTGTGCCGCAAGGTGTTCTTTGACCATCAGATGCTGGACAATCATACGCCGACCTGCAACCGTAAGCCAATTACCGCCACGGGGGCGCATCAGCAGGAGCTGCAGACGCAGTCAAATCAGACGCAGGGTCGGGCCGTATTTAGGCATAAGACTGGCGACGATGACGACGAGGAAGAGCAACAGCAGCATCACCAGCAGCAGCAACAGCGTAACCATCAGGAGGATGCTGGCGATGGAGGAGCAGTAGCAGCAGCAGCTGCTGCCGCTGCCACATCGAGCGGCACCATCAGCGGTGTCAGTACCAAAAAGATGCGCATACCGGAGGTGGCCTGTACAATTTGTGGCGCCAGATTCACTGATCAGGAGCACTTTAGCAAGCACATACAGAAGCATGAACAGGATCTATATGTGGATAATCCGCTGGCAGCGATGTTCGACGATGGGCCGGCGGATGCGGCCCAATTTAAGGTGGAGGGCCAGAACGAGAACGGGGAATACGCGTGCGATATGTGCACGAAGACATTCCCCCTGGTGATTGCACTCAAAGTGCATCGCAAGTGGCATTTCAGAGGTGATAGCAAGCAGGTGAGCGTTTTTCGGCTTGTGCAGCGAGGAGAACGAAAAAGAACCAACCAAAGCGTGGATGATGCTGATGATGATGATGAGAGATGCCTCCGCACCAGTCGCAAAAAACACAATCAACATCTCTATCTCTTTACTTGATCAATCTATATTAATCTGTTTGTTTCTTCTCTCCTCTCTCCTTCTCCTTCTCCTCGTCCTCCCTCCCTACTCTTCCTATCCGAATGTAGAACCACATCGACAGCGAAACGACGAATATCAACAACAACAACAACAACAATTCGGTGAACAACTCCACATCGATGCTACGGGAGCTGCATGCAGTGGGTCTGACGCCCAACCAACAACAGAAGCAACAGCAGCAGAACTCCACGTCCACGCCGAACAACAACAGCAGCAGCAACAACAGCAACAGCAGCAAGAGCAGATCAATGAAGCGTAAACGTGAATTGAAATGCGAATACTGCCCCTCGACATTCATCAGCAACAACAACCTGCGACGCCACATGTACGAACTGCATAAGCACGAGGTGAGTAGCCTGCCAGCACCGCCCGTGATTGTGGTAGATGACCCGCTCTGCTGTCGACGTTGTGGCAATATCAAATTCGAGACGAAAGAACTGTGGATCGAGCATAAGCTGGCCGATGCGAAGGTGGTGCGACCATTTTGTCCCTTCCAATGGGGCTGTGACATGTGCGGCGAGTACTTGTCGCGCAAGGAGAAGCTCATGAATCACATCAATAATCATTTGAAGGAGGATGTCATTGTGCCAGTGGCCACACAAGGGGCCATCGACAGAGAACGAGCATCGACAGCATCATCATCATCATCGTCAGCATCGGCATCGGCTTCGGCATCCGAGGCAACAACATCCAAAGCAAAGGCGTCGTCCGTACTGGCGGAGCAACCCGGTGCCACACTGCAGAAGAAAACGGAGGAAAATGGTGGACTGGATGGAGCGGAGGCGGCGGTAAAGGCAGATGAAGATGATAGCGATATGGAGGATGCCGACAGCTCAGACGGTGATGAAGAAAGCTCTGGCACAGGGGATGAAGACGAAGACGATGATGACGACGACGACGACGACGACGACGATGATGACGACGAAGATGAGGGCGAAGACGAGGAGGGTGTGCCCCCACCAACACCTGCCACACAACTGTTGCCACAGCAGCAGCAACACAAACACAAAGCCAATATTGACAATGATGAAGATCTCGTCGAAGAAGTGATCAGCTCTGATGATGAAGAGCCTGAGGATGGAGGGGAAGTCGAGAGCGAAAGTCAAACAGAAAGCGAAGAGGACGATGACGAGGATGACGATGAAGACGATGACGACGAGGAAGAGGAACAGGGACAGGAACAGGAACAGGGCTCGCAGCCCCTGGTGAATGGCAAGTCGAAAGAGCATCAACAGCAAATCGATGAGATATTGCCCAGCTCCGACGACGACGAAGTGGGGGATGGCAATTTAGATGGCCATCTGATGGCCATTGATGACATTATTGAAGAAGAATATGATGAAGACGATGATATGGAGGAGGTGGACGATGGTGCAGTCCATCCAGATCCCGATGATGTCATCGAAGAGGTCGACGACGATGATGCGGATGAGGTGGATGAAGAGCACAATGTCGATGGGGGCGGCACATCCTCGGCCTCATCGTCAGAGAGTGAATCAACATCCACGACCACATCCAATTCGCATTCAACTGGTGAGCGGCGTAAGAAGGCTGGCGACCAGTCGTCAAATCCCAGCTTTACCTGTGATCTATGTCAACTTTGTTTCGATTCCCAGGAGCTTCTCCAGTCTCACATCAAAAGCCATTTCCTCAATGGTCCAAAAATCTCTGCCTCACAAGCAACAAGCAATGCAACAGCAACAGCAACGGCAACGGCAACGACGACGACTGTGTCGAGCAATTGTAACAACAATGCGTCGACAAAAACCTCGAAGCAGCCCTCCCCAGCCAACAACAACCGACAAAGAAGTTCCGCCGCAGAAATGGGGGCCAGCGGTAGCAGCAGCAACAGAAATTAAGTGGATTATCATAGGTACTCGTATTATCCCAGTCGTTTGTCCCCACAATCATCCACGTCAGAATTCACACTTGAAACAACTTGTACAAAGCCAGCCCAATTATCGCTCATGAGCCAAAAGACCCTCCACTCTCCACCATCAACCACCACCACCACCACCACACAAAACAACATGAAAAACCATGCAAAATGATCATCAGAAAACGCATTCCATGCATTCAACAAGCAGCAGCATCAGCAGCTACAATATGTATGTATAGAGACAGTAGGAGATGGGGCGGGTAATGGGGGACTGCGTGCGTGTGTGCCACATATAGTAGAGTTTCTTCTTGCTTCTAGTCTTAAGGCATACCTTATACTATATATTATACATGCATATATCATCCGTAAAATTTATAAGATATATAAGATTTTTTTTTACAATGTTAAACTAGTTTTTACGCACGCACGCACACACACAAACACAAGAAGAAAACATACACACACACACATACACAGACGAAAGAAGAATGATGTGAGCACTGGGCGGCATATTTTAGGCTTTAGGTTTTTTGCTTAAATAACCTATATATATCAAATATATAGCGTACATTTATAAGCATCTATGTAGGAAGTACGTACGAACACACCTCAATTATTAAGCAAACGTTTATGACGTCACCAAAGGAACACACAAAACAAAACAAAACATAACAGCATAAAAACCCACAAAAACAACAAAAAAAACACACAAAACCATACAAAATACAATATGAAAAGGATTGGAAAAGAAGAGAATATAAGGATATAGTCGTCCCAGAGCTCAGTTAGATATAGTTTTAAAGATCATAAATTTCTAAGTATTTCGCACACACACAAACACACACGAAATGGTTTAGAAAACCAAAAACTCTCTACTCGATATATATATATATATACATCTATAATTAAATTTTTTTTTCGGAATGGTCAAAATAGTGATTTACAGTACAGAAAACCGAGAGCATCACAACAGAAAAATACCCAAAAAAGAATTTACTTTGGGAATGTAATGTAATTTAATTTTTTTTTTTTTTTTAGAACATATTTTGATGTCCTTTTTTTATATTTTTTGTTTAAGAGCCTGCTGGGGCCATGAAACTCCTACCTGAAATATTTGTTTTAATCATTTAATTAGGATTTATTAGATCTAGAAGAGTAAGACAGTAAGAACATGCACAAAAATATATATCTATACAAATGCGAGAAATACATAATTTTATTTAGTTTTTTTTTTTGTTTGTTTTTTTTTTCCAACAACTTTTCAATGGCTAGGAGAATTGAACAGACATAAAATTCGATTTGATTCACTGATAAATCCCATGCAATGCCATAAAATACCAAATACGAAACATATATAATAATGGTAGCTTCTTCAAGCCGTACTTCTTTATTCCAAACAGCTCAAACATTTGTCTCTTCAGCCTTTAACCCAAATGCAGCTCGAGCCCACCCATGACGCCTCTGTTCTTCGAGTTTCGCTCCAACTGGAAACCGAGAATTGTGGGACAGTTGGTTGTTGCAGATTTCGTTACACAAAAAAACACATCTAGTCAGACAGAAAGCGTGATCATCGTCGGTCAAGCCGTGTCAGTCGAATCAGCCGCGGAGTTAATTATTGTGGCAATGGAACGCCGCTACATAATATGAAGCTCGCATTGCCAAGACTTCAAAAATTGTTATAAAGGGCAGCAATCCAGTGTCCAACTTGAAGCGTCATGCAACGAAAATGTTCGAGGTGATGGAAATACTGAAGTCCTCGATTCTGAAGGACAACAACGATGGTCATTATTGTCTCGCAATGGACATCGGTGTTGGACACATCGGTGCTGCGCGATCACTTGAAGAATGATAAGCTGTGGACTCTTTCGTTGAATGGCTCCATTCCCGTAAAGAATCGACAAGAAATTGTAAACCCATTTAATTCTCAGCGCCATCGGAAGCGCATTTGGTTGCTCTTACATACTGTTAGACGTGTTGGCCTAAATCTGGTCGATGCTAATCATTTGTTGCTGCTTGACCTGCACCGCAGTCCGCTGTTGGAAGGGCAGGTCCAGGATCGCATCTATCGCGAGGGGCATAAAAAGGATGTCACGATACATAAGATGGTGTGCATGGATGCAATCGAGCAGCGCATTTTGGCTTTGCCAGCAACATAAATTGGAACTGGCCAATGACAAAGTAGTGGCTAGCTCCAATTTATGCAATTGCTGCAAAGCGGAAATGCGCTGCTCGACTGTGTGCAAGCACATGACATCCTTTTTCTACCCCACGCGGTAAATACGGTCGTGGGCCTGGGCTTCCAGCAGCGGATTGTGATGCAGGGCATGCAGCAAAAATGATCAGCACCGACCAGATTAAAGTCAACACCGCCAGCAGTATGTAAGAGTAACCAAATGTGCTTCCGGTGGTGCTGATCATTAAATTGGTGGACAATTTCTTGTCGATTCTTTACGGGATTGGAGCCATTCAGCGAATGGCTAGACAGCTTATTATTCTCCAAATGATCGCGCAGTGTGTCCAGCGTCGATGTCCATTGCGAGACAATAATGGACAGCGTTCAGAATCGAGGACTTCAGTATTTCCAACACCTCGAGCATTTTCGTTGATGGACGCTTCATGTTGAAAACTGGATTGCTGTGCTTTATCACATTTTAGGCAGTCTTAGCCATGGGAGCCTCATCCCATGTATCAGCGGTCCATTGACACAATAATCCACTCTGCGACTGCTTTGACTTTCGCGGCCGACGCGGAGAAGTGGAGGTAACTGTAATAGCCAGCTTATTGAGCTGCGCCAGTAATTCAATCTCCGGGGATTCTCCGTCGCTGCCGTCACCGTCCATACCATAAGTTTTTCATTGAGTTCCATTGAGAACCGAAATCCTTTATTCCCGAATCAATCCGACCTGGATGGCAGCATATCTGCCTAGTCCACAAGTAGATACATTTTATTGTTGGTTCATTTTCTTCTCGTCCTTGCTGATATACATACAACTCTTTTTCCAAATTCCTAAGTCCAAAGCACCCCTTTTCGGCCCCAAAAATATTTGATTAATTATAGACTTTGCAAACGAATAACTGACAGAACATCAACACGTATTCAGCACACTTTTAATATGGACCAGTTTGGTTGGGTTCTTGCTGGATAATGGCTAATACAGCTACAGAAACTTACACCGAATTACCCAATGCACAGAATTAGAACACCAAACTCTTGTTTTTATGGTACACATGTACAGACATTTTATTATTGGTTCATCTTCCGCTCGTCCTCACGTAGATGATATACATCCAACACTTTTTCCAAATTCCAAAGTCCAAAGCACCCCTTTTCGGCCCCAAAAATATTTGATTTAATTATAGAAAAAATACTTTGTAAACGAATAACTGGCAGAACATTAACACGTATTCAACACACTTTTAATCCGGGCCAGTTGGTTGGGTTCTTGCTGGATAATGGCTAATACAGCTGCATAAACGGGACGATTAGCACTACACCGAATTACACTCCTAATCGTTGCGGTTATGCAGCTCTTAAGGCAGGCGATAAAATGGCAGCATAGAAGCAATAGACAAGACAAAAATAATGCATATGTAATCTAACCTACAGAACAAATGACTAGAAAAAAGACTTTGTAAACGAATAACTGACAGAACATCAACACGTATTCAACACACTTTTACACCGGACCATTTTATTGTTGGTTCATTTTCTTCTTGTCCTTGCTGATATACATACAACTCTTTTTCTAAATTCCAAAGTCCAAAGCACCCCTTTTCGGCCCCAAAAATATTTGATTTAATTATAGAAAAAATACTTTGTAAACGAATAACTGGCAGAACATTAACACGTATTCAACACACTTTTAATCCGGGCCAGTTGGTTGGGTTCTTGCTGGATAATGGCTAATACAGCTGCATAAACGGGACGATTAGCACTACACCGAATTACACTCCTAATCGTTGCGGTTATGCAGCTCTTAAGGCAGGCGATAAAATGGCAGCATAGAAGCAATAGACAAGACAAAAATAATGCATATGTAATCTAACCTACAGAACAAATGACTAGAAAAAAGACTTTGTAAACGAATAACTGACAGAACATCAACACGTATTCAACACACTTTTACACCGGACCATTTTATTGTTGGTTCATTTTCTTCTTGTCCTTGCTGATATACATACAACTCTTTTTCTAAATTCCAAAGTCCAAAGCACCCCTTTTCGGCCCCAAAAATATTTGATTTAATTATAGAAAAAATACTTTGTAAACGAATAACTGGCAGAACATTAACACGTATTCAACACACTTTTAATCCGGGCCAGTTGGTTGGGTTCTTGCTGGATAATGGCTAATACAGCTGCATAAACGGGACGATTAGTACTACACCGAATTCCACTCCTAATCGTTGCGGTTATGCAGCTCTTAAGGCAGGCGATAAAATGGCAGCATAGAAGCAATAGACAAGACAAAAATAATGCATATGTAACCTACAGAACAAATGACTAGAAAAAATACTTTGTAAACGAATAACTGACAGAACATCAACACGTATTCAACACACTTTTACACCGGACCATTTTATTGTTGGTTCATTTTCTTCTCGTCCTTGCTGATATACATACAACTCTTTTTCTAAATTCCAAAGTCCAAAGCACCCCTTTTCGGCCCCAAAAATATTTGATTTAATTATAGAAAAAATACTTTGTAAACGAATAACTGGCAGAACATTAACACGTATTCAACACACTTTTAATCCGGGCCAGTTGGTTGGGTTCTTGCTGGATAATGGCTAATACAGCTGCATAAACGGGACGATTAGTACTACACCGAATTCCACTCCTAATCGTTGCGGTTATGCAGCTCTTAAGGCAGGCGATAAAATGGCTGCTGCTAATTTCGTAGCACACAAAAACAGTGGGCAACATAGAAGCAATAGACAAGACAAAAATAATGCATATGTAATCTAACCTACAGAACAAATGACTAGAGTTTTGGCACACAAATCAAGTTCTTACCTTCCATTGATCATCGCTGTGGAGCTCTGAAGATTCTTAACATTTAATTTATACTTGTTTGCACATATACATATTATATATATATATATATATATCGAATACAGACACACACCCAAATACTTGTGGGACATAGAATAACTTGAAATGCAGACAGACTTGCGGATATAGTATAGGATCGTGCATCTCTGGTGCATTTCAAGTATCGTTAGCCGTTTAATAATAAATATTGTACACGATTAAGAAGCATACTTACCATACAATTTGCATTCCCCCGCACCAAATACCACATACCACATACCGCATACAGCGCCCGCTGCCCCAAAATACATACAAACATATATACGAATCACATACACAGAGACATTATATGTAAAATTAGTTTGTAAGAAATTGACCTAAATATGATACTTATTCACGTACAAAAAAAAAATACAAATCAATTAAAACAAAAATGCAAAAAAGTTGAAAAACTGTCGTTTTGTCCCTCTGGAACGTTAAGGAACCGAAAAGAAGTAAATTAAAAAAGAAATATATATATAAAATACACATAAAAATCAATATACAATCTGTAGTTTTTTGCTGAATTGGGTTTTCGGGATGGCAATCACAGGTGTATAATTTTGGACTCATTTGATAAGGCCCCTAGCTTATCTGAATACGGATAACGCAACCACTCGATTCGATTCGACTCTTCCGCTCGGGTGAAGGAATGTCGTCCGAGCATGCAAGGCCCCATTCATCCATAACGTATGCTGTGCGATTTTCATGATGGGTTTCCTTTTTCTTTTTTTTTTTTATTACAGATCAGATCAGAGCACAAGCGACTAAGATAATACTTGGCAGTAACTTTCCAATGCGATTGGGGGTGGGGGGATATAGAAAAGTATATGAATTCGTTCGGTAGAAGACATTAACAAACATCACAAAAGCTCATACAGATAATAAATACAATTAACAAATGGCCAGAGCCAATTCTTTGGATGGTGGCTTCATGCGCACACAAACAGAAAGGGGTGTTCAGTGGATAGCCGAGTAAAACAGAAAAATAGAAGAAAAAAAAAGAACAAGAGTCGCAGAGTACACAAATATAAATTGATAAATAGAAATGACTTTATGCTTATAAGGCTTAAGCAGATTGGTCTAAAGCTAAGTGAGGCAGCCGGAAATGATGTCATCGATGCATCTAGGAGTACTGCGTATGTGGATTCACGTTGATCATCTCCATGTTGCTGCTGTGGAGTGGACACAATAACGGGCTTTGATTAGTTCAAGTGCAATAGAGAGCAAATAGTAGTAGTGGGTGTGTACATGTGTCAATCAATAGTCGAAAGATTATTACTTGATACTTATCGCGCACTCCCAGGGTAAAGATATGAAGCTTCAAATGGTTATGGATGGTGTGGGTATGTACAAGAGCTCCTCCTACTCTAAGTCAATTCTGTCGAATGGAGCAGGAGTAGTGGGTATCATGAGTGAGTGCAGAGGGTTGGGTTTGGTTATGGTTGGGGTAAGGTGGGTTGGGAAAGTGAGTGAGCGGGAATGGAAGGAATGGAGTGAAGTCCGCTAAGAACTCGTTTCTCACCTGCGACTGCAGCGCATATGGATCAGGAGTAGGCCCAGGCCCAGGGTTATGCAAATGGCGCCAACAACGATGTAGGCAATGCCTAGGAATGGATTCTTGCCACCCAGCACAGATGTGGTGGATATAATCATGCGCTTGGTGCCATCAAACGAGACTACCGGATATCCTAGAAAAATAGAAAGAGAAAAACACTATCAATCGTAGAAGTTCAGGGGGGAGGTATGACTTCACAGCACATACGGTATTCAACGTTGAGGGTATACTCCCCGGCCTTTAGGCCTTTGGCATAATTGTTGTTCGTCTGGTCGAGGCGACGATAGAGCTTGCGGAAGCTGGGCAAGGCCGCTGTGCGCATCCACACAATCAGATCCTCATTCTGGAAACCATTATTCTCCGGATTCTCCTTGTCCAGATCGTAAAGTTCATGCTGCCATAAGATTGGCTTGGCGAAGCCCTTGAGGGCCAATGTGAGGTTGCCTTCGGGATTCCGGAACTTGACCCGCTTATCGGAAGGCCATGCAATGCCCGTGTTCAAAAGCTTGATATCCACACCGCCCTGCGCCAGTTTGAGCGTGTCTGTTGGGGGGAAAAACAAAGAAGAAGAACAGTGGGAATTGTTTAGACTGTGTCCAAGCCATTTTGTGTGCAGGGAATTGACCACCGACCATTGAACAAAGAGTTGGCTATAGCGCCACATGGCGCGATGGGTTCCAGAGTCACGGGGTCATAAGCAAAGGGGGCACAATCCGAGCTGGGCGTCTGAGACAGTTGTCCGAGCAGCTGCAGGTCATCGCGCGACTTCACATAGCGCCGATGGTTTTGATAGTAGTTTGTCAGGCCATAATACATGTATACGTCGCCCTAAAAGTCGGTCGAATGGAGGCGGATATAGAATACAAAAAAAAAAAACGATTAAAGAACAATTAGTGTCTGTTTGAAGGGCGGTGCCCTTCCGTGTGTCCTTGCTTTTTTCTACTCACGTTAAAGTCGGAGGTCAGAGTGAAATTGATGGCGCAGTTGCACTGCTTTCCCGGGTTATCCTGCAGGTAGTCCGCACAGGTAATGCCTGCATTGGCGGCATCCGATGAGGTGCAGCGGGTGTAGTCAATGATCAGCTCGTTGGCGGTATTGGAGAGGTGAAGCAGCACCACGCCAATCGGTACGAACAGCACTCCAATCACAAAGAATGTCGGCAATACCGTGCGCGCGGTGAGGACGGGTTGCCAGGCGGGCAGCCGTTGTTGCTTGAAGGCCGAGTCTATTGGGCGGGAGGTGGAGAGGAGGGTTTTTCGAATATTAATGTTCCTTAAAGGTTAAGCATGACATCATCTAAGTCATTATCCTTGCCCTCGCCTTTAAAGGGAAGGTAGGGGATGGGGGAGTGAATCCAGGTGCCCGGAATTATCCATTCCATTACTCATTCCCTCGAATCGCGTGAGAGGGTGGGGGCGGGGGCGGGGGGAGCGGGTCTTATCACTTCAGCAACTGGTTACAGTTACACTATGTGTGTGCGTTTCGTGAGTGCGGGGATGTGCGTCGTGAGGGCATCCGAACGTGTATAGGTGTGTCTGTGCTGTGTTGAGGCAAAATCTCTCACCTGAAGGTCGCTTAGACTTTGGGACTACATCCGCCTCACTTTCCCCTTGTCGCATGGACATGGTGCCTGATGATGTGCAGATTATGCGAAAGAAAAAAACTGAAGAAAACAACTCTGGCCCCCGCGTCTACACTGTGCCAGTTGACCCAATCGAATAAAGGTAAATACAAAAAAATTTTTCTGATAATTCGCGATAGTAACCATGAATCATTGCTGGATGGATATCGATAAGTGAACCGGAGTTGGCAGCACTGCACCCGCTCGTGAACCAGTTCATTTTTCTAGCACTGAAGTGCTTCTATGCTTGATATGTCAAATGTTAAATGTATTTTAAATATTTGTTCACACAACTCAAAATTCGGTTTGCCTCTTGAGCCCAGAGAGTTTCGTTTCCGAAAAAACATTCTGCCGTGGGTATTTTGTGAGTGATACTGTAAAAATACATCGATATCAATGTAAATGCAACCCATGACATCGCAGCGGCATTTATGTTGGGTATCAAAACAACAAAGCAATAGCACACACATACTCCCGAGGCAAAACCGAAAGAGAAAACGCAATCAAAGGAACCGCCAGCGAGAGCATTTATAAATTATTGCAGTCCGTTCTAGCAGCCGTTCAGTCGTCCACCAAGAGAGAATCCTCCCAAAAGAGTGTTTGTGCGCAGTTAATCGACCCAGACCAGACCCACGGAGTTAAGTGAAACCCCACACCGTACACCAAGCGCCAGCGGTCTCTCGAATTATGAAAATCACAGTGACTGCGTCCGATGATCGGCTATTCTGCTTGGACGTGTCCCACGATCTCGAGCTGGAGAACCTCAAAGCTCTCTGCGCGATGGAGATCGGTGCCGAAGTCGATCAAATTGTCGTTCTTTTCAATGGGCAGGAGCTGACGAACAACAAGCACTCGCTGCAGCAGTGCGGCGTCAACGATGGGGACTTTATTATGCTGGAGCGAAGAAGGCCCAACAATCGCGCAGGTGAGTTGTGTGGGTGCTGGGGGGGAGGAGGTGTAGAGCGCGCGAACTCTATAACTGGGTCATTGCTTGCGCCACGCCTGTGGCCTGCTGAACCCAGTGGCTGAACCGCCCCAACTTTAGTCCCTATAATCCATATGGAGATGGCACGGATAGCATTCTCCTACATCCAGGTGGCTTGATGGTCAAAGAATTTTTTCTAGAAGTTTTGAAATTTGAATCCGGCCTGAGACGTGGAATGATCGACATGCATAGGCCTATCACTGCATGTGTGTGTGTGTGTGTGTTTGTGTGTGCTGGAGTATTCGTATACCCTTTTTAGAGGCATATGTTTGTAAATGCACAAAAGAAGTAATCTAATAGGGGAGGCTCAATTTTCGGAGACTCTCATCTCGTAATACTAGAAACATGATTAGTTGCAACGATGCCTTCATGTTTGGTTTTCGACTTGTACTTTTACTGAAATTTGCAAATCGGGATAGTATTCCCGGTGTCCACAAATTACTCAGTTTCCTTAACTTAAAAGTAGTACAACTCTTGGGTAATGAGTAATTTTTTTGCACAAATAAAAATATTTCAACCAGAATCAACCAATTTCAACCAATTAAAATTTGCCATTTGTTAGAGGCGCCATATGTTAAGACGTAGCTTAACTAACCAATTTGTGCCTACAATGGCGGGTGCGCCCCTCAACGACAAAACAAAGGGTATACACAATTCGGCAGATGCCTTGAAGATTGCTTTCATGCATTTTTTGGAAAAGATCTTTGCCACCGGCGGCCGCCTCTGCGTCGCAGTTAATTTTAAAAATAAACGCGTTTTTTTGTTCGCCATTGCTGTTTATTTTTTTTCTTGTGATTTTCTTTTGTTTTCCCATTCATTTTTGTGCACATTCCGAAAGAAATTGAAGACAAAAAATAAAAGCAAATGGGAGCACACACACAGACACAAACAGAGCCAGAGACAAATGCACAAACACACAGAGCACTGGAAAGGAGGTGGACTTGGTTCCAATGCAATGGAGTGGAAAGTGGAAAGTACGCGACGGCAATGGCGCAACCACATGCATACATATGTATGTACGTTTGCAGGTGTACATGCATGTATGTACATCCTCCATCCATAGATGGAGAAGGCAAAGAACAAGTGTGCTCTGATCTCCGTCTCGGTCTCTTTTTTTTTGTCTGGCTGTTTACTTGACCCCATCGTGCGTGGTTGGCCTTGTCTGTCCGTACAGTCCATCCCCCCCATCCGAGTCCCCCATTCAGATCATCATATATGTATACACGAGTATGCTGTGTGTGGGCGATGCACAGCGCATTGAATGGGTTAGTAATCGGTAATAAAATGATTCACCCTCCGCCACCAGGAGGTGCCAACAATCCGGTGATAAGTGGACTCGACTTTAGCAGCATCGCTGTGCCGGGAACCAGTGCAGCGACCAGTGGCGGCAGCCCACCCTCGACCAACCCCAACCCCGGTCTGGGAGGATTAGCAGGACTGGGAGGAGGTGTCGCCAGCAACAGTCTGCAGCAGCAACAGCAGATGCAGAACCTAACAGACATCCCCATGACGGACGAATTCAATGTGAACTTCGATGACGATCCGGCTACGGTGAGGCAGTTGTTATTGTCCAACCCGGAGACACTGGCCTTGCTGCGGGAGTATAATACGCGGCTAGCGGAGGCCCTCGACTCGGGGGATCCGGACACGTTTGCCCGGGCCCTGAGGGAGCATGTGACGGAGCGGAAGCGGCGCAACGATCAGCGAGTGCGAATGCTGACGGCGGATCCGTTCGATGAGGAGACGCAGCGTCTGATTGCCGAGGAGATCAAGCAGAAAAACATTCAGGACAATATGGCTGCGGCCATTGAATACAATCCGGAGATCTTTGGAATGGTCACGATGCTGTGAGTCATCAGGTTATCTGCACACCGGGCCTGCTTAAACTGAATCCACCCGTTTCCCCCCTCTGCCCACCCACAGGTACATCAATTGCAAGGTGAACGGTGTGCCGGTGAAGGCCTTCGTTGACTCTGGGGCCCAGACGACAATCATGAGCAAGGACTGTGCCGAGAGGTGTCACGTGAACCGGCTGATTGACACGCGCTGGAACGGTGTCGCCAAGGGTGTGGGCACCCAGCCCATTCTGGGCAGAATCCACATGGTTCAGCTGCAGATCGAGAACGATCATTTGACGTCCAGCTTCACCGTCCTTGGCCAACAGCCCATGGACATGTTGTTGGGTCTGGACATGCTGAAGCGTCATCAGGTAAAGCATTTCCTTCATTTGAATTCAAACACCTAACTCTCTCCTTCTCTCTTTCTCTCTATATGTGCTCTATTGGCTGAAGTGCCTCATCGATCTGCAAAGGAATCTGCTGATAATTGGCACCACCGGAACGACGACACCATTTTTACCCGAAAGCGAGCTACCGGTTGGTGCCCGGCTCACGGGCAATCCAGAGGAACAGGCCGAACAGCAGGCGATTGCTGAGGCCATGGAGCAGAGTCGGAAAGAGGGCGGTGCATCCACCTCCACCTCCGCCTTGGCAAGGTTCGGGGCGAATACCATCCAGCCAATGGATCCGTTTACCGAGCAGGATGTCAGCGATCTCATGGCCCTCGGATATCCGCGCGGCGATGTTCTCATTGTGCTGAAGCAGTGTGGCGGCAATAAGCAGGTGGCCAGATCCCTGTTGCTTAGCCGCAACGAGGCAGCCGGTGGCGGACTTAGCTGAACTCGGGCTGGAGCCCCAGCATCCCCACCTCCACCCCCAAACCCGTGCTCTGCCTATCCCACGACAAACCCCACAGCCACCTCCTACGCAACACAGTTCACTCCTCTGGGATCAATTGTAACAAGATCATGAAAACCAAAATTGCAGGATAGCTAAGGATATGCTGACGAACAATCATAGCCAGCCAGCCAGCCAACCAGCCAGCCAGCCAGACAGACAGCCACTAGATTCCGTTTTAACGAAATACTCCGAGCAATACCAAAACAAAAATGGAAAATGGATAAAATTAAATTTGTAATTTAGGAAAATTTTTGTAAGCTAATATGCCTCTTTTTTTATATGAATCGTTATACACAATAGCTAAATAGTAGGATTTGAATGCATTTGGGCGACTGCTACATACACAGACACGGTCACGGACACGGACACGTAAACGGAAGCGGACACCTCCTTCAAAGCACTTAAAACTTGAGGACTAGGGTGTGCGTTTGTGTGTGTGGTTTTTTAAGAAAGAATATTTAAGATGCAAATGCAACGAGAGAGAGAGAGAGAGATAGAGATGGGGTAATGGGAATGGTAATGGTAATGGAACCATAGCAACGAAACTGAAACTAAATATTGAAGTGCAGCAAAAACAAAATATACCGAAAATATGCCTGACTATATATATATACACATATATAGTATATATACACATTACACACACACACACACAAACACTCATATATATATATATATATATATATATATATATGTGTGTAAACATTATATACAAATTTGATCTAGTATTAAGATGGACGCTCTTTTAGGTGGGACGAGATTATGTTAAAGGGCAAAGCAAATGTGAAATGATGGATTTTTAAGAATAAAAGAGTCGGGAATTGTTTTTGGATTTGGATAAACGGAAAAGGTGTTTGTTCCACAACTAATTAGCATTTGATTTATTACCATTTTCTTTACCATCGCACCAACGGGCGGAGGCAGATTTATTCTTTAGCATTTAAATGCTACTTCTCTTTTGTGGCTTTTTGAATAGCTTTCGTTAAATATTTATGTATATATTTAGAAATATGAATTATACAAAAATCGCATTCTATTGTTCACACGCACGCAACACACCGCACGGCAGGGCAGGGATTTTTTTTTACATAGTTTTGCATTTATTTTGAGTCCTCGTCCTCCTCGTCTTCCTCATCATCAGATTTGGCATCCGCCGTTGAGTTTTTGTGATTGAACTCCTTTTCGGGATCGAATTGCATGCCCTCTTGATCGGCGGCATCCTCCTCATCATCATCGCCAGCGACTTGGGCATTCTCAGCCTCGGCACGCTCCAGGCGCCGTGCCAGATCGGCCTCATCGATGGCCGTCACCAGTTTGGGTGCCATTATCACCTTGAATTCGCCTTCATACTCGAGTATCTTGGCGCGTATATTCTCGATGGCCACCTCCAGGGCCTTGAGGCCGTCTGTCTTCTTTGTGGTGGCTGTGGTCATCACATATCTGGAAAATATATGGAGAAATTAGAGAGTTCAGTGGATCGATAGAAATTTTTTTTTTTAAATGTTTATCAACTTACAGCGGTGGTGCTATAAGGTTAATGCGAATGGGCAGCTCTTCGGTGCTCAGCTCCAAGCCCTTGGTGAGGGATGCCTTCACGGCGTCGATGCCCTCGTAGCCGTAGCACGAGCACTCGATATCGGCGCGTATTTTCACAGTGGGCGAGACGAGTTTACGCTTGATGTTGCTCAGGAGCACCTCCTTGGTCTCCGGGTCCAGGTTGCATTCGTCAAAGACGGATGGGTCTGTCACCGATTGCTTGAAGATGTCGTATGCCACCGTCTTGCTGTTGTACTTCTTTTCGAAATACCAGGCGGTCTTCTGATAGAGCTCCTCCAGCTTCTTATTGCCTTCGTAGCCAAGAATGTCGGCCACATGCCGCAACAGAGAGTTGATGGCCTTTGCTTTGGCAAAACGTTCGGTGCACTTCTCCACATCCTCGGGCGAAACGCGACGCTTGGAAAGATCTATGTAGCCCTTCTCCTTGTCCACACGAATGACGACAACCGGCTCGGTTTTTCCCACGCGGATCAGTTTGTTAATGGAGCGAATACGGCGACGTGACAGCTCCGACAATAATATCATGCCCTCAATGTTGTTGTACTCCAGCAGATGGACGTAAGCGCCCATTTCAGCAATGGACAGCACGTTCACCATGACGACATCCTCGATTTCGGGATATCGCTCGTTGTAAAACCGCGACGTTAGAGCCATGCTTGCAGTGTTCGAAGAACGACGATGATTTGGAATTCAAGCAGAATAAAAGAGAAAATGCACTCAGCGTACGCCGGAAAAAAAACGTGTACAATTTCGCTGAAACTGGGCGTAAGAAGAAGCGAGAGCAACATTAGTGTTGTAAGCTGGCAAGCTGCCAATTTTCGGCGAATTCGCGGTGCCGATATTCATCGATGTGCCGATATTTTAATTAAATTGAGGACATGTACAAATTGTATGTAATTTTTCGCGATATTAATTTAATGAAATACCTTTAGAATGGTTCCTTTGAGGTTCAGGTGAGTTTTTTCCCTGCATATTTATCGATATTGTCGTCACAAGTGTTGCAAAATTTCTTTCGCGGCGAATTGACAAGTGTTGCTTGTGAATAAATTATTGCGGCAGCCCCTGAATAGCAAATAAATCCACTTTGTATGATGCACAAAATTAGGCATTAAATGATTTATGAGCATGCTAGACTCACCATCGATCTACCTATCGCACTTGCAATGCGAATCGCCGGAGTTGGCGGCACGCTAAGCAAATGGTCTAGTGTGTACACACTGACGGGGCGACAACTTGCGTTGTCAGGTACGTCTGCGGATTGCAGCGAATTCGCTCATTTGAAAAAAATAAAACATGGCTGGAAGAGGTGGTTATGAACACGCTAGGTAAATATTATTAACAATATTCAATAATTGTCGGTGCAATCTCGTCGAAATGGTGTACGTGTTTTGTGGTTCAAGTGTGTGGCACGCGCGTGTTTTCTTTAGGACAGACGTTTACCCAAATGTGTAATAATGCACGCGGTTTGGGCAGAAAGGCAAAACCATACCATACCACCAACACTGGCGCACGATTACGCACCCATACGCGCACACCGTGTTATGTACGTGTCGGTCATTGGTCGCCGTTGTTATATATGTATGTATATATATGGTGTTTGTGTGTGCGACAGTGTGCGTGTTTTTTTCTACATTCGGTTTTGTCTTTTCTACTGCTGTATGACCGTGTTTTTTCAGCAACACGGCTTGGCGGCATCACTGCCAACATTGCGCTCAACAATCGTGGCCTAACTATCCGAAAACAGCCCGAAAGTACTAGCAACTGGCCCTAGTACTGGTCACGGCAGCCGTTGCGCCGGGACCGGGGCTGGGGCCGGGTCAGGTCCCAGCAATGGGATCGGATCCAAACGCCCAAAATAGAAGCATAGTTCGTGGGAAAAACTTCTTATTGGCTAAATGGCAAAAGCGCGCGCTTTTGCACCTCCATTAAGTAGTGGACACTGGTTTTGTTTATGTATAATGCACATGCGACTATTGTTTATAATAGACACGCGTCGATGTAAGAGTCCAGTTTCGATATTTGTTGATGTTTTTGACCCGGTACCGGGTTCAGGTTTCCTTTTGTTTTTCCGCTTCGTTTTTCCCCCATGTGCGCTGTGCTTGCCTTTGCCTCTGTGTGTGTAGGTGTGTGTTCCGTGTTGGTGTGTGTGTGTGTGTGTGTGTGTGTGTGTGTGTGGGTAGAATAAAGCTCGTTCCGTCCCGGTGGGGTAGGTTGGAGAAAGGTAACAGTCTAAAGAATCCCTCTAATTATTATCATCCAATTCATTTTTTTCCAGGGGGGGATTTGGCGGTGAACGCCAGATGAAGGTACTGCCAACGGAACCGCCCTTTTTGGCTTTTGTGGGCAACCTGCCCCAGGGCCTCGTCCAGGGCGATGTAATGAAAATATTTCAAGACTTTGAGGTGAAGAACGTGAGGCTGGTAAAGGATCGGGAAACGGACATGTTCAAAGGCTTTTGCTACGTGGAATTCGAAACGCTAGAGAATCTGGAGCGGGCACTCGAGTTCGATGGTCGTATCAAACTGGACGATCTGTCGGCGCCGCTGCGCATCGATATAGCTGACCGGAAGAAAAACGATCGGTAAGTTACATTCTATCACCAGGATTCTTTCAATCTGAAATCAGACTAATATTTTTCTTTTGTCCGCCTCGTGTGTTTGCGTTTTCTTTTCAATTTCCATAGGCCCGGTGGCGGTATCGGCGGTGGCAATGGAGGCATGACCCGCGATGGTGGAAGAGACGGTTTCCAGAAGCGTGGACCGCCCCGACAGGGCGGTACGAGCCAATCCTATAGTCGGGGCGGTCCCGGGACTGGCGGCAACGGCGGAGGTGGTCGCGAAGGTGGCGGCGGCTCTGGTAATCGCGCCGATAGTAGAGGTTCGTACAATGATAATTATGGTGGTCACAGTGATAGAAGTCGAGGCGGCGGCGGCGCAGGCTCCGGCTCCGGCAGTGGCATGAATAGAGGATACAATGGTAAAGCATTTTTATCTGGCTTCCAACCAACCAATCAATCAACCAATCAACACGTAGCTGCATCCCTCGTAGTGCTGCCAAAAGTAGCAGTCTCTGACTCTGATTCTGATTCGAACCGAAACGCATGGGACTAATACATCCACGCTGCAGTCTCCGAAAGTGTTACCACCCTGTTCCCCTACCCCCTGCCCACCTTCCTACCTAACTAGATACCTACCTACCTCTCCACACTCTCTACACCCGCCCCCCAATTGCACAATCTCCCACTGCACTGGCTTTAAGTTATAGTTACTTTCATCTGTATTCTACCGCTCAATTTCTGTTGGCTTTTGGATCTATCCTGGAATCTCTATTTGATTTGATTTGCTTATCCTATATCCTCTGCCATATCCCATATCCTATATCCTATTGCCCATATCCTTTCTAAGGTGCCTTGAAGTATCTCAAAAACGCACAGTATCAGCTGCGATAGATTTGAATAGATTTTCCCGCACGCTTTTAACTAGCATCAATAGCCAACTAGCTAGCATGACGAGCCTTAGCCTTAGCTTATCCAATCACAACAGGATCCTCCCACCTCCAGTTAGTTGGTTGTTCCACGTCTCGTTTGACATGTGTCGTGTCCACCATTTTCAGATCGGCCGGCGAATCGTGGCCGGTATGGAAACTTCAACAATGATGACCGGTTTGAGCGGAACCAGGACCGTGACCGGGGGCAGCGTGAGGGAAGTTATGGCAATCAGTCGCGCGACGGTGACCGCTACAACAACTTCAGCAGGCACCGTGACCGCGAGCGTACCCACTACAATCCCAACCAGCAGAGTGAACGTCCTAGCGGCGGCCTTGGTGGAGGCGGCGGCGGCCTTGGGGGCAGCGGCGGTCTTGGAGGCAGCGGCAACCTCGGTGGTGGTGGTGGCGGCGGTGGTGCATCGATTGGCGCCATAGGTAAGTGCTGGGATATTTTGTTGTTATGTGTTGGTTCCAGTCTTATTATGATGTATTCTTTGATTGCAGACGACACGGAGAGGCCACGCCTGCAGCTGCAGCCACGTACCATTGCTGCGCCAATCAATGCGGTGGCCGAAACCAAACAGTCGGCATCCATTTTCGGCAATGCCAAGCCGCGCGAGGAGAAATTGAAGGAGCTGGAGCAGAATGTCTCTCACAATGGCGACATCTAAAGTGCAGGGAATCGATCCGCAATAAAGCCTGATATGATATTTTGCTGGTGAGAGTGAGACAGAGAGAGAGAGAGAGAGGGAGAACGTCAGAAGAGGGAGATGGAAAAGGAGGAGCGGAGCGTATGCGTATGCGTCAGCATTGAAGAGGAAGAGGATTAGCAGCAGCAGCAGCAGAAGCAGCAGCAGCAGCATGCCGTTTATAAACACATACTTTAATTAATAATTCTACGCTACATACCTATTATACACACACAACAAGTTATGTACTAAATTGCAAGATGGTGAGCGGAGCAGCGGATCAACTTAACTACAAACGAAACAACAACAATGAGTACAGCAAAAGCGACAGCAACCAAGAACCCTTACATTTTTCTAATGCATGCAACAGCAACAGCAGCAGCAATAAGATCAGCAAGCAACAACGTCTATAAATGTTAGTCTTAAGCGATAAAGTTTAGTCCCGTGCATATGGCGGGTATGTATATATACAGTATGTGCAGTATATATGCATGATTCACGCCATGTGCACGCTTCTATTTGTTAGTTAAGTAAAACATATATAAACAACAACAAAAATAACAAAAAAGAAACCCAAGAAAAAAACAAAAAGTTCTACCATTAAGCATAAAACAGTAAAAGAAAAGCAGAAACAAAAAAAAGAAACAAAACAAAAAAAAAAAAAACTCGAAAAACAAAACCAAACAAAAATCGAAAACAAAAACCCTTTAATGACAAAACGTTCAGCGTAGCGCAGGCATGCAATTTATACACAGTTTATATGGCAAAAAAAAGCAGAAAATTAAAATAAAACAAAAACAACAAATGAACGAAACGAATAATTAAAGTTATATGCGGAAGAGAACAGCAGAAGTATAAGCAGAAGCAGTAACAGCAGCAGCAGCAGTAACAAATCTAACAAACGAAACAGAACAGAACAGCAACTAAGAGTACGGCACGAGAGGCACGTACATACGAAATCAGAGAGGAGAACGAGCAAATCGAGGATTAGCAACATTAACAGCAATAAAACAACCTCATATACAGAAACGGCAGACTACAAATATACATATATAGGTCTATGTAATTGAAACAAGAAATGTCCGACTAGAAACCCCATTTTATACCACCACCCCTGGCTCCTTGGCTCCCTGGCTCCCTGGCCCTCATAATCCAAAAACAAACTACAATCCAGAATCCATAATCATGCATGCATGCATGCATGCAACATTTTTAAGCTTGTAATAATCATTCGCATTTTAGTGTTTGGTTCTTTGTGTTTGTCCCATTTTTTTTAATCTTGTAATAATCATTCGCATTTTAGTGTTTGGTTCTTTGTGTTTGTCCCATTTTTCTCCCTATCATTTGGCTCTATCAGTTCCTTATCATTTAGAGACCAGGGAAATTCTGTCCAGTTCGTTGTAGATAATCTCTGTAAAGCGTCGAGAAGTAAAATGAGAAATTTATACATTTCATTTAGTTGTTGCTGTCTGTATTTTGAGTTTTCCTGGTATCCACAGTCTTATGCGAGTACCTGCAAGCGAGAGGCGGTTTTCTTTTATTTCGAATTCCTCCCTATATATTTTTTTTTGTTTATTTTACTCTGTTAGTTTTTTTCAATAAATACATAAATACATATATGTTTTTTTTTTTTGTATTTTGCAAGAGCTGATGATACGCGTGAGTTGTAAATTAATTTGAAAATAAAGCAAAAAACATTTACATAAGAAATGTGGCAGCATTCTGTTCGGCGTGGTCTTTTTGTCCTTCCAGTGCGTTTTGGAGTTGAGTTTGATTTCGGAGTGCAGCTGAAGAAACCAGCTCGAGAATCGTTGTACATACAAAGAAAATAATCAAATTTCGGTGGCTCTCCGCTGATGTATTCGTCTGTTTGTAATTTGTTTGTTATTTTCGTTTTGGTTTGTGTCCCAGGCAGATGGTATGAGTGTCATACTACCATAAAATACCGTACTACACCATACACCATACTACCAAAAACTCCAACAAGCAAAAACCGACTTGAAATGCAAGCTAAACCAGAGTTAACCGCGGCAAGCAAATGGAAATAGTAATACAAAATAATTTAAAGTTAAATATACAAGTAAAATTAAAAGTAACAGTAACAGTAACAGTAAAGCTAATACAATTTATACACCTAACTTTTAGCACTAATACCGTAAGCAGTCAAAGATTTATACTATACGAAAATGGGCAGCAATATTTGTAGTTCCGAGTAAATGAGAATCAAGAATCAAGCAAAGCAAGCAAAAGCAAAAGCAAAAGCAAAGCAAAAGCAAAAATCATAGATGATCATAGATGAAAAAACTTACTTAAACGCAGCCTAAAGGTTCTAAATTAAGGACTTTGATATGCATTTTTAACGCCCAGAAAGACAAAGAATTGTTTAAATTACGATTAGCGCGAAACCAAAACTAAAACAAGAATTTATACAGAGCAAGAGTTAGGCATTAACCTACGTTATACGAGTAACAAATCTATATAGATGATATATATACAAAATATACGCTATGGTTAATGGCAGGGCTGATCGATAAAAAAAAAAATAACAACAAGCAAACAACAATAAATAGCAATTCTACTTCTTAAAAAAACACACAAAACATTTTTCAATAAAATCGAAGAAAGGCAAAAAAAAGAAATAAAAAATTAAATAAAAAACTAAGCTATAAATTAACAAGCAATTATAAAACTAGACCTCAAACTAAAACAAATCGTAGGCAAAACAAATTTTTACCAATTACCAACAACACCAACTAAATAAGTAACTTACATAACAGCAATTTATATAAATAATTAACAAGTCAACAAAGTCAAAGAATCAACATGCAACCTAATTAGGAAATCATAAAAAACAAAAATAAAAACAAAACGAACTCTAAGCAAAGTATAAACCAATTCACCAACCAATACACCATATGATAACGAATATATATACATACAGATAAACATATATATATACATATATATATAGGTATATATTTTTTGTTGTTTGAACATTTTGTACGATACGATACGTATATATATATATACATAAATATATATATATATATATATATATATATACAACTAAATAAATTAACAAATAAAAGAAATTATAATACAACAAAGCAAACCAATTCAATCTAATTTAAATCGGTAACTTGCATCCTGGCTATATAGGGTCAGATCAGGATGATATTTCTGCTATGACATACTATAAAACGAGAGCCAATAAGTAGTTAATTGGGTTTGGACCAGCAACCACAAGTATAGCAAAATTTGGAGCTCCAAATATGTGGCTACTGATTGGTTCCTGGTTACAGTTGTCTCCCTTAGATTTCCTCTTCCATCACTCTCCATTTCATTTCTTTCTTCCCGCCGGTTGTTACTTAAAAAAATGTATTTTGTAGTCAAATCAGTTCATACAAATCTTTTCAATCAAGTCAAATAAACCGAAAAGAATCCACTCTACGAGACGTTGCAAAAGACCAGTATGAGCAATCTGGGACGATTTCGTGGAACCCGAAACCCCATTCTACAGTCATCCCACAGTCAGATTGTACTCAATAGTAAGGGAATACATTGCAACAATGGAGTCGGCAATCATATCAGTGATGGTCGGGTACAACTTGAATTGAAGAAAAATTCAATCATTTATGTATTTATATTATATATGTTTATTTATCTTTAAATGGACAGAGAAAAATGTATAGAATTAGAATTACATCACTTGAGAAAGGCTGGACAGATTTGGCTCAAATTTGTTTCAGTTGTTCAGATGTTTGGGAAAAACCATCTGCGATCGTGAAAAAATAGTTTCTCTTATAGAAGAAAATCTCAGCTGTACAGTACTACTGCTTAAAGATCCATTTCCAGATCAGTTCCAAGCTCGAGATACTCCATCGAAGAAACAATCAATTTGTTTGACTAGTGCCTGCTAATAGACGTCTCGTTATAATCTCAGACAAGACGACAATCTAAAGTGCAAATGCAAATGAAAAGATACGTGCCTATCTTTCACAGGTTCGCGCTGCACAATTACCACCTCAGATTCGAACAGTAGACTTGAATCGGGCTGCTTTTGACGCTGCTCTTCGCTGCGTTGATGTGGACAATCATATGTTGATATATCGCCACTGAAGGACTGAAGGAAATGCCGCAAACATCGGTTGTTTGACCACTTCACCAGGTACTTGTATTGTACCGCTAGTATCCGCTAGTACATATATCATTACTAATTCCAGTCGTCTCTATGGGGTCGCGTGTATTGAAAAGGTATCTATATACTTACTATTATTCGAGTAAGTACTACCACAAATTTTCTAGATCTGTAGGACTTCGCTAGACCTATTGAATTGGCCTTCATGGATGTGTAAAGGGCTGTCGCAACTTTCTTCCCAATTTCTTTCTAGTTTAGGTTCCGGTTTAACCTTTTGTCTATCACCTACCGTTCGCCAATGGCACTGTCGCTGAAGGAGAGCCTGATTGAGGGGTGGAACTGGTGAATAAAAACACAAATAAATTTTTCATTTGCATAACAAATTCAATTAAATCTCATTTTATTTCAGTTTTGTTTGTTTGTTTGTTTTTTTTTTGTATTTTTTTTACAATTTATTAAGCTAAAGTGTGAAAAAATTTCGCTTTAATTTATGTATATATATATTTGTATATATATATATATCGTTTTTGGTTTTGTTCTCTTTCTTTTTCATTTATTACATTACAATATTTGTTGGTTGCCCATTTATTAATTAAGTTTACTTTCGGTTTGCTTTATTATAAATTGATTTTGTCGTTTTCCCTTTGTTATAAATTATACATTAATATGCAACTTGTTTGGAGAACTAAAAAAGCGTTAATTATTTATATTTAATGAAAATAAAAATTGTTTATCTTTAAGACCTGTTTATTCGGGCTTCTTGTTTTTGTTTTTGTTTGTCTCTTGTTTTTCCTTGCTTCTTTTATGTATTAGTTAATATTTTTACATTTAGATGTTATTGTGCAGTTTTGGTTTCCTCATTTCTTGATTTTTGTTTTTCTTCGGGTATCGG